ATCAGTGTGCTGGTTGGATTCCAAGAGTTAAGGGAGGCAGACATTTTGAGGGTGATATCATCCCGGTCAGGGTGGTGCTGGGTGACTCATCTACACCTCACGGCAGGCACGTCTGTGGGGAGCACCAATTTCAGGCTGTTTTTTCCTGGACAGTGATGGAGGATAAGTGCCAACTTGTGGCCTCTTGGCTTTTTATCCTACTTTTTTCTTTCCTTTTTCAAGTCTCCACTCATCCCTCATCCTTTAGTTCCAATCTGCCACACAATAAAATTGATCAGATTAGCCGGGTGAGGTGGCACACATCTGTGAGCCTAGCGTTTGGGAGGCTGAGGCAGAATTGCTTGAGCCTAGGAGTTGCAGGTCAGCCCTGGCCAAAAAATGCTAGCAACAACTTCATGCGACCTAACTGACAGCAAATCAGTCCCATCGGGGCGGGAGTCATGAGTCTGAGTCCGTTTCCCAAGTCTTGATTACAGTGTGAGTGTGTCAGTTGGGGGCAGGGCATGGATGGCAGCTTTGTCTCTCTTTCTGGAAATAAGCACTCTTGGGTAGTCACTGGTGACTGATGTCTGGGATCTTGATCTTCCTGGTGTCCACACATCCTCCAACTAGAGCTTCCTTCCCAGGGCTGAGCTAAGGAGGGACTTGAAGCTGACAGACAAGGTAGAACTCACAACAGCGGGGTTAGCCTGTGTTCAGAAGTCATCAAAGGAGCACTGTGAGGATGGGCCTGTCTAAGTGGTAAAGCGCCTGCCTAGCAAGCTTGAAGCCCTAAGTTCAAATCCAGGGACAACCAAAAAGAAAAAAAGAAGAAAAAAGAACACACTGTCAGATAGCCCATGGCTCCAGTATTCCTCTGCTAACAGACATGATTTGGGAAATGAAGATACTTTTCATTTTACAGACTTCAGTCCAATGTGTGATACAAGCTGTGCACCCAACATTATTCCCACCTTCAAGAGTTTTTCTCCAGCACCGGTGGCTCACGCCTGTAATCCTAGCCACTCAGGAGGCAGAGATCAGGACGATCACAGTTCAAACCCAGCCCCAGCACAGTCCTCAAGACCCTATCTCGAAAATACCCATCACAAAAAGGGCTGGCAAAGTGACTCAAGGAGAAGACCCTGAGTTCAAGCCCCAGTACTGCAAAAAAAGAAAAAATTTTCAATGTGCTATGATTGTATGTATATTATGTGTCTGCTTCCTGCTATCAGCTTACTATAGAGTAAATGTGAAGAATGGCCTGTATTTGACTTATTTCTTTCTTTTCTTATGGTGTGGGATTGGAACCCAGCACCTCACACGTTAGGCAGTTCTTTACCACTGAGCTGTACTTCCAACCCCACTCATTTACTTCTTTCTTTCTTTCTTTTTTTTTTTTTTGAAAGGGTCTTGCTATGAAGCCCAGGATTAACTTTTGATCCTCTTGCCACTCAGCCTCCTGAGTGCTGGGATTATATGTGTGCACCACCATACCCAACTTTACTTACTTATCCTTAACTCCTAACAGAAGGCCTGGTAGTGTGGTAAGAGCTCATTAAGATAATGTTTTACATAAATGAATGGTGAATGAATGAATGAATGAGACTGAGCAGCATACGAATCACGGGAATACCAGGGCATTACATATCATAGCAAATGAAAGGGCTCTGGGCCTCTCTAGTTCAGGAACCCACTCTACTTTTGGAAAAGTCAGGAAAGACACCCTCGTAGAGGAGATGACGAGTAGCTGCTCCCCAATTGGAAAAGGAACATCGCAGGCATCGGCACAGTCCTCCTCATAGTGCTAGACAAGAAGCCGCAGATAAAAAGAATGATTCTGGCCACCCACTTCCTGCCCAACTCTGACCAGCAAGGACTGCATTCCTGCGAGCTGAACATGCGTGGAATTTCCAGCCTAGGTAGCAGAATGGAACTTGGAACAGAGAGCTCAGCAGAAAAGAACCCAGGGACAATGGGGCTGAGCCCAGCCACCCTGTGCCAGCTTTGAGCTCACAGAATATTGGAGCTCAACTGCCCCTGTTGAGGGAAACAACTGACAGCCACTGAGTTGTGCCACTTTAGAGAAATCCCCGTGTTCAGACAGCTGAACCTTCAAAGACATGCTGAAAGACCACACCTGAGGATAGTCTGAGTCCCTGTCGCTGTTCAACTTTTCCATCTATCAAGACAAGTAAAGGTCTGTTTGTCTTCAAGGATGGGAAACATCTGAACACACTGGAAAGTCGTAGAGAAGACGCCTTCATCAGGAGATACGAGGACAAAGCTCAGCGAGGATGAGGGGAGGTGATGACAGAATCCAGGGCACTTTGTGACCAATCTGGGGGAGGGGGAGATTTAAGAGGAGCAACTGGTGGGAACAGATGCTGTTTCAGGGCAGGAGAGTCAAAGAGGAAGAGACCAGCTTCATCCAGGAGAGAACTACTCCAGACAATAACCACCAAGACACTGGTCACCCAGCTGGCCGGGCCTGAATTTCTTACACATGATCAAGTTCCGGCAGCATGCTGTCGATCACCATGAAAAATGGAGTGGAAAGCCTGCTGTGTAAGCCCTCAACTGTGGCTCCTTCTCTGCATCTTTTCAAACATTAATTTCAAGACAGTGATTAATTCTGATGGGGACCTAAGAAAGGGAGGGCTGCATGTCACTTATTTGTATCTGCATCCTCTCTCTAGGTTATAAGGAGGATGAAGGCAGGAATCACAAATTACTCAAGTTGGAATAAGGTACATTGCCTTAAATACAAAGAAATATGTGCTTTATATAGAGGGAGGAAGGGAGAAAGACGGGCAAAGGGAGAGAGGAAGAAGGAAAGGCAAGGGGAAAGCAAATTTGATTGGCAATATTAGGGGAGGGTGGTGGTACCGGGCAGTACTGGCTTGCCGGCATCACAGGAAGGTAAATGATGTCACAGAAGGGAGTTACCTAGGGACTGGGTGGTTGGGGGCAGCTCGTTTGGGAATAATATAAGCTTATTGTTGGCCAAGGCTAGGTCCTGATCTTCTTCAATAACATACACAGAACTTAGTTCTTTAACAGCAGTAGTGGTGGAGGATAAGAGGACAGAACCTTTCATGGGGGAAAATTGTAGAGCAAAGGACAAGTGGCTCTATTTGCTATCTGCCCCATGGGGCTACTCACATAAGATCTGAGTCATTTCCTCAAGTGGTTGCAACAAGCTCTCCTCTGCCTTTGGGAGGAAGTGGGAAGTTTAAAACCTTATGCAGATACCACCTTTCTCATAAACAACCGTACTTTTCATTCTCTAACGCCCCAAGAGTATTTTGGTTTCCACCCTTATGTCACTGTCCCTTTTATCAGGTCTAAGAGCCAAGGACAAACTGGTACCATTATCCAAACTCAAGTCAGGGTTGGAGGCATTCTAAATGTATTTTAGAAATCCCCTATCTTCACTGGAGGAATAGCTCAGTGTTGTCCAGCAAGTGTGAGGCCCTGGCTTCCATCCTCAGAACTAGGAAAACAGTTATCTACCCTGCACCCAATAAGTGTTAGGCACTGTACTAACATTTTTTTTTTTTTTTAGCAACACTGGGCTTTGAACTCAGGGGCTCATGGGTGCTTTGCCTCTTGAGCCACTCCACCAGCCCTTTTTTGGTGATGAGTTTTTTCAAGATAGGGTCCTGCAAACTATTTGCCCTGGCTGGCTTTGAACCTCGATCCTCCTCATCTCTCCTCCAGATTAGTTAGGATTACAGGCGTGAACTACCAGCGCCTGGCCTAACAAGTACTTTTTTTGCTCCGTTTTATTTTGTTGTTCGAAGTGCTAGGGATCAAACCCAGAACCTCACATGTGCCAGGTAAGCTTTCTACCACTGACCTCCTCCCTCCTTATGTTGCAAGAGCTAGTGTGCCCAACAGGAGAGAAGCTGGAGGATCGGATTTATGTAACTTGACCTTAGACACACCTGGTAGAGAGTGGCGTTCAAAGCCAGTTCCTGTTTTTTTTTTGTTCCTGTACTAGGGTTTTGAACTCAGGGCCTTGAGCTTGCTAGGAGACACTCTACCACTTGAGCCACTCCACCAGTCCTTCTTTTTCTAAAGTCAGTTCTCTTATCTATCCACGGGGTTATTAAAAATCTTTTAGTAAAATGGAGCATAATTTCTAGCCCCCTGCTCCTTTCACCTTCATAATAGACATCCAGTAACAGATGAAAAGTAATGGTTGCCAGATTAGAGAAGGTGAAAGTACAGAGGAAAGGGCAGAGAAAGGAACAACCTTTAACACAGCTGGTTTAATCGAGTGCCTTCCCGTTTCGTCAAAGTTCAAACGACTACAAGGCCACAGTTGGCTCTAGGCGAGCAGACACACGTGTACCCTACGCATGCGCTCAGCCAGGACACACCCGCCCCCTCCAGCTGGTCCTCTTTAGCCAAGTCACCAGCCCTCTAAATGCCCGCCCTCAAGGCAAACCCCTAGACCAATCAGAAGGCCGGAGCGATCACGTACGTCACGTATTTTGCATATGCTCGCTTCTCCCCGCCCCTACGTTAAGCACCACCCCGTCGGAGGCACGGATTGTCACCTAAGCGCTTCGTCCTCTCATCTGATTGGCTCTTTGGCCAGCTCCACCTCCGTCTCCTCCCGCCGCCCGCCCTTCGGCGCGCCCACAGCGGCGGGCGGAGCTAAGCACGCAGGCGCGGCGCTGCCCCTCTCTGCTGGTGGCCCGCCCTCCCTCCTCCCCCTCCCTCCCCTCCCCGCCCCCTCTCCCCTCCTGCCGGGGCCTGCGCGCGCGTCTTCCTCCAGCACGCGCCGCCGCTAGCTGAGCACTCGCTGGAGCCCGTGGCCCGCGCGTTCCTTTTCCCCTCCGCCTGTGGGGCTGGCGGGATCCTGCGCGGCGGTCGCGGCAGCTTCGGCGGCCCCGGCTGGCGCGGGCAGCGGCGCGCGAGCCCCGGGGTGGACCGCACCACCGTTCGCCAGCACTCGGGTGGGGGTGGGGGTGGAAAGCCGCCCGCCCCGCCGCACGCGCCTCGGCGACCCCGCGGGGCTGAGGCGTCGCCGCGCCCCGGCAGCGTGAGCGCACAGCCGGCCTCGACCCCGAGCTCGGAGCCCCGTGGGCCAAACCCGCCGCCGGCCCCACCCATCCGGGCCGAGGAGGCCGCGACCATGGCCGAGACGGAGGAGCGGAGCCTGGACAACTTTTTTGCTAAGAGGGACAAGAAGAAGAAGAAGGAACGGAGCAGCCGGGCGGCGAGTGCCGCGGGCGCGGCGGGCAGCGCCGGCGGGAGCAGCGGAGCGGCGGGTGGCGGACCGGGCGCGGGAGCCAGGCCGGGCGACGGCGGGGCTGCAGGCTCCGGGGCCAGGCCGAGCGACGGCGGGGCCGCCAGTGCGGGGACCGCGGGCCCCGGGGCCGCCACCAAGGCGGTGACGAAGGTGAGGAGCCCGGAGGTCGGCGCGGGCCGCGCGATCGCCCCATGTGCTCGCCCCCGCCTGCCCGGGGAGGTCCGGGGGGGGCGCGGACCGGCGCGGGCGGCCACGTGACGTGGGCTTCCCACGCGGGCGGGGATCTCGGAACCCCGGGGCACCCCGCGCCCCTCGGCTTGGCCCCACCACCCCCGCTGTAGTCCCGCACCCCGCCAGAGCCCTCGGGCTGGGGCCGCAGCACCCCGCGCCGCGGCGTTTGTCGAGTGACGTCTACTCGCAGCAGTTGGGTGTCTGGCTTGAGTAGTTGCGTGCGAGTTCCGTCTTTTGACGTGGGAAGTCGCGTTTGTGCAGCCCGGTGGGCGAGACTTGGTCTCTAAGCCGGGGAGGGGGTCACAGCAACATGGAGCTAGAAATACCTAGTGGCGGAATGGCCGTTGATTGCCTCGCTCGGCTTTAAAGTAGCAGCGCGTCTCGGGGTCGCGCAGAGGGCCGGGGCTCCCTGCCTCTGGTTCCAGCTGCTCGGTCCACTGTTGGTGGGCGGCTGCCGGCCCAGTGGCCTGTTCGCAGGCAGTTTTCATTGATCCGATGTTCTTCTCTCCAGGACGAAGATGAGTGGAAAGAATTCGAGCAAAAAGAGGTTGACTACAGCGGACTCCGAGTTCAGGCCATGCAAATCAGGTATGTTGTGAGAACCAGTGCGTCTGCGAACGGGACGGCAGTGGGTTGTGTCTGTCCTCCTCGAAGTGAGTGCTTCGTATTTGCCTGCCAGCGTCAAAATTGCGGCCAGACCCTGCCTACTTCCAGCTCTGCTTAGGCCTCTTTTTATTGGAGGCGAAACGGATTTTGTCTTTTTTTTTTTTTTTTTTTTTTTACTTTTGGTATTGGTAGCTGAACTTAGTTTTGCTTTTTTTTTTCCATCTTATATTATTGTTGTACTGGGGGTACATTGTGACATTTACAAAAGTTTTTACAATATTATCATAGTTGAATTCACCCCTTCCATCGTTCTCCTTAGTTTTGCTTTTTGTTTGAAAAATAACATGGGTATTCTTCAGATCTTCTCCAGTAAGTGGGCTAATATATTTGTAACTGAAGTAATGGGTACTTACAAAGAAGTACAGAACTGGGGAGTGGGGCTCAGTACTGGGGATTTGAACTCAGGACCTCAGGCTTGGTAGGCCAGCACTTTATCACTTGAGCCATGTACAAGTGATGTACAGATTTTGCATTCACAAAGTGAAACCAGCCTGGTCTGATGAGCATCCAGTTCCAGAAACAGACCTTTCCAATTACACAGCAGAGCCCTGTCCTGAAACCCAGTCATTGCCTGCACGCCCAAGGAAACCAGTACCCTGACAGCTTAGATTCTTTATAGGAATAATGGACTCATAGCCTAAGCGTCTGTTCTTAAAGTTCAGTTTTCAAAAATTGGTTGGTTAAGACAGACTTTGAAACGAAAAGCATTTCATCAAGGCAAGTCTGTGGTAGTCCGTTCTAGATGTGTATTGAATAAATGACACAACGCTGGGCATGGCAGCACACCAGTAATCCCAGCGCCCAGGAGAATTGTGAGCTCCTGGCCAGCCTGTCTCAAAAACTACTGAAAAGACATATTTTGAGGGGTTCCTAAAGTAGGGAGGGAGAAGAGGCAACTATGTGGTTCCATTACCTTAAGTTAAAAAAATTCATTCCTTCCAGTTTAAAGAAATACCTCAATAAACGGCCTTGGATCAGAAGCTTGTAATGTGTGTGCGTACACATGCATACAGCCTCTGTTGTAATGCTAGTGACTGGTACAGTGGAGGAAATGCTTCCTAACTCATCTCTGGAAGCCAATACTTACGCCTTAAGAAACCTTTATTGAAAACCCAGAGCTTGTATCTTTTTCTTTTTGAGACAGGGTCTTGATAATGTGCGTCACATCCTCTTGCCTCAGCCTCCTGAGTCTTTAATACCTGCTGTGGCCAGGCATAAGGTGTTGAGGTGTTCTCCCAGCATTTTCTTAGTTTACCAAAGTGAAACCTCCTGATGGTAGTGGGACTCTTTGAGGAAGTGCTCTCGCTCTTGAGATTGCTTTGTAGTAGTGTTTCTACAAGTGATGACACTGGAGTCTGATTCCTAGCCCCTTGTTGGCTTCTTTCAAGTTTAGGTAGGGTTTTGAAGAAGGGTAGGAAAATTCCTGCTGAAGTTTGCTTTCTCCTGAGGCATGGCTTATAGAAATAGGGAAGGGAGTTACAAGGTTCCTATCTTCAGGGTGGTAGAGCTGCCTGTGTCTGGTCCCTGTTCAGGTAAAGTTTGACCTTTTAGTCTTTCTTGCTCTATGGTAGTTTCTCAAAGACTTGAATGTCAGGAAGGATAGCTTTTGGGGAAGAGTTTCAGATTTGCTGTTAGAAATTGATCATATTAAATTTTGGAGAATATTTGAATGGAACCTTTTTTCCATTATCGAACATGAAAGTCCCTTGGACTGGTGGAGTGGCTCAACTGGTAGAGCACCTGCCTAGCTAAGTGTAAAACCCTGAGTTCAAACCCCAGTACCACACACAAAAAAAAAAAAAGAGTATGAAAGTCCCATCTATATTCAGGGTTATTTATTTTGAAACAATTTTGCTGTATGATGCAGACTGGCCTGAAACTGGCCCTGGGTTCTGTCTCCAGCTCTAGCTAGCACTGCCACACATACCAAAAAAAAAAAAAATCTTAACAGTGAAACTTAGTCCCAAGGAAAGAAACATTGGCTTATGTAGCAAAAACATGGGCTTTATGAAAGATAGACCTGGATTTGCATTTTACCTCTGCTGCTTAAGGCTCTAGTGACCTTGGGGAGAAGTCATTTCCTTTTGAAGATTGCACTCAGGCTCTTACCACTTGAGCCATGCTCCTAGTTCAAGTCATTGTACTTTTGAATGTTGGTTCTTACCTGCAAAACTGAGACTAGTCAGAATTGTTAGACTTCTTTGAATGGGATGAGGTAGGTTCTTGGTTACATCAGTCATTGGCTTTATTCAGTGGGCAGTTAGAATGACTTAACTGAAGACATTCTGTTTAACCATGACGATTTATGAGAAGGGATACTAGAGACACATAGATGTCATGAGCTCAGACTGGTGAGCCAGTCCACTGTGGACATGGCACATTCAATGAACAGGGCATTGGAATAACCAAACAAATCCCTCTGAGTGTAAATGTTGCAAGAGGGCCTGGATGGTTGTCTTCCTATAGCCCTATCTCACTTTTGGGGCAGAAGTGTTTAGGAGGAAAGAAACGAGACTTTTTACTGGTTTTGGTGGGGTAGTCTTCAATCTGTATTTTTTGTTGAAACAGAGTCTGCCTTTGTAGTGTAGGCTGATCTCATGATGTTTGAACCTTAGCCTCTCCAGTGCTGGGATTACAGAGATGTACCACCATGCCAACCTAGTCTGCAGTAACTTCTTTCCAAGAGATGTAGCCTTGTCTTAGTATGGAATGAGAGAAAGGAAGCTTTGAAAATCGACTTGAAATAGCTTGAGGTTAATAGTCTTGAATTTTCTTCCAACTTTCTGCTTTTGAAAATTACAGACCTCAGAAAAGTTGCACGTGTAGTAAGATAAGTATGCTTTTTATACTTTTCACTTAGATCCCCCAATTATTGCCACATTTGCTTTATTTTTTTCTCACCAAGTGAGCTAGCTACAGATATTGCATGCAGTCTTAAAGTTCTTCACACTAGTCCTTATAGAAGGCTACCATGCTTGGCCTTATCCAAGGTAACTATATTTGAAAGGGTAAGAAATTTTGGTACAAGCAAACATTATGCAAAGGATGTATCTCACATTTACCAGCCAGCTCAAGATTTAAGTATCAAGAATATTTAATATGTTGAGATTTCAATTATTCACCTATTCAGGGTCCAGTTATTATAAGTTGTTAGAAGGCATTCAGTTGGGCCTGCCACTTGAGCTTGGGTTGTTGGTGTTAATATTTAATCTTTGAGGTTGTAAAATACTGTATATTTGTCATGTTTCAATAAAGGAGTGAGTTTTTGAAGCCCAGTGATTTTTTTTCTTTTTCTAGGAACCTTCTTTAGAAATCAAGATCTTGAAACCTGTTGAGCTGGTCAAGTTGTATATAGAGAAGAAATTACTCCTGAATCCTAGCTAAATTCACTATAGCAAATATTTGTGTGACTGTGTTCCAGACATTGTGCTAGGTTTTGGGGTTATAAAAATAACTCATGCCCTGATATACAACGAGGTAATTTCAAAGTGGCCTGGATGGTGCTGTGTACCAGGAAGGAGCCAAAGAAGGGTTCTTTGCCAGATGAAGTGCAGTGACATTTCAAGGCTCGTGGCCAGCATAGATCATCAGGCATTTGTACTAACAGTAGTTGGTACATTGGGGCAACCCATTGGAGATGCCAGGCATTCTAGCAGCTCTGCCAAGCTGCTTTTTGTTTCAGCTGCTTCCCTCTAGTGTTGGGGAAGGGGAGTTGGGTTGCATAAATACTCCTGTCTAGTGTGAGAGAAGGATAGATAGAATGTTCTGTCTTTAGTAAGTATGCTGACCATTCTTGCTAAGGAAAATTAATTTCTTATATTTCAAAATAGAGAAAGTATCTGTGTCATATCTTAGAACTATAAGAAGAGGATAAGATAAAAGCAGAGACAAGGTAAAAGAAAGTGGGCTGTGGAGTCTGTCTTGGGTTTGGCTACTTGTAGCCCTGGGTAATTTCCTGCTGCCTTAGTGCTACAGGTAGCTGTGCTATGCCGTAAGTGTTCATTTTCTAGCACCATTCCCCCTGTCCCAGTAGTAGCACCTTATAGATGCACACATGTGTAAGACAGTTTTGTGAACATGGTAATGTTTAAAAACATAGTTTAGCTGATCAGAAGCTATATGTTAGTAGGGGTTAAAACACTGAATTTTATTTATTTTTGAGAAAACTGAATTTTAAACTTATCTTCTGTGAAAAAAAAACTTTGTAACATGTTTCTTGCTCTGGCTTTGGTTTTTAGAGTTGACACTTTAATAACTTCTGCCTTGCCTTTGTACCATGGCATTTAGGCAAGACACTTAGCATCTGTGGGCCTTCGTTAGTTCCTTCTGACAGATGAAGTCTCGGCTCATCAACTTACAGTGTTTACTTAATATTGCAGAATCGTAACCCAAAGTATGAGGTTGTCTACACAGGTCTTTCAGTAGAGGAAATAGTCCCTACAATTAACATCATGCTTGTTCTTATAATCTGGATGTGTTTTTTTAATTTGGATGTGTCACTCATTTATTCTTTTGTCCCTGTGGTAGAAAGATAGTTCCAGGCAGCCACATCACTCAGGAGTCTGAGGCAGTATAAGGAGACCTTAACTCATAAGTAAATAAAAGGAAAGAATTTTACTTGATGCTGCTATCTGTAAGATTTTTTGTGAGTTAGAAATACACTGTCTAGAACACTTGAAAATATATAAAAGCATAAAGAACTATTTATCTCCTGCTTTTAAGGATAATCACTGTTAAAAGGTTTCTGCTTTTCAGTTGAAGATTATTTATTGCAAAAATAATTTTGTAGTTACCAAAGTGATAGTTTATTATCAAATATTAAAGTAACTTGGGGGAAATTTTAGAATATAATGTATATATTTCTGTTTGAAAATGTATAAAAGCAACTGGAAACTGTACCAGCATGAGTATTAAGTTCCATGAAGATCTGTGGGGATCTTTACTCTGTGGCATGGGTTGAGTTCTTGTGACATTTTTGCTAGTCAGTTGTAGCTTGGTGAGTAGTACCCATGCTTTTACCCTTGAGCCAAGCAAACAAAGCAAATAACATTGCTGCGTAACAGGGCTTTAAGTGTGCTTGTTTATTAAATACTTTTTGGATAATTCTGATGTTTAGATATTTCTATTAGATTCCTGGATAGACTAGGATCTTCATCCTTACTTGGTCATTTATGCCACCTAATAAGCTACTATCACAAGAACAGAGTGGAACTGTCTCTTTCCAACTTTTTATGATCCACATTGGAAACAGCCAATAGCAGTGTTTACTGTGTGACAAACACTTAAGTGCTGTGTCTGTTAACTCGTTTAACCTCATAACAGGGGTGTTGCCCTGCTTTACATAAGAGGAAACAAGGTAAGTGCCACCTTCACAGTCTTCTGGCTAGGAAGTGGCAGAGCCTGGATTTGAACCAGGCACTCTGGCTTCAGAATAGGTTCTTAACTACATTCTGGCACCCAAATCTATCCTTGTAACATTTTTTTTTGGTGGTGCTTGGGCCTTGTGCTTGCTAAGCAGGTGCTCTGCCACTTGAGCCAGCCCTCCTTATAACATTTTTAAAAACGTTTTGAAAAATGTATGTTGGTGTTTTATTAACTTGCTGGGATGAGCTGCATGGACATGACTCACATACCAGTGTAAGCCTAGCATTTTAAATGGCTGCATAGAATTCCATTATGTGTTAACAAAGGAAAACTGAAGGGTGGCTTGGCCATATTCTTCATCTCTTTTTCCTCTTACAGTCCTACAGTAAACGCAGATTGAAGGTAAAGTTACTTTCCCTCTCCTGCCTTGTGGCATCTCTTGTTGATGGATACTTCACATGTTGTTGTCATTCTCTTTGAAGGGCATGTATCTTTAAAATACATATGTGTATGTATTGTAGACGAGGTACCTTATCTAAGTGCCTTTAAAATTGGTCAAGAAATTTGTCTTGGGTCGGGGGGGTGTGGTTCTGGAATAGCACTTGTCTAGCATACGTGAGACTCTGGGTTAGACTCTTCTCTCCCCACCCCACCCTGCAAAAAAAAAAAAAAAAACGAGAAGTTGTCTTAGAGCCAGGACAGATCTTGTTTTAATAGGAGTGGAGGAAAAGTACCCTAAGTTGTCTTTTTGTCGAAGCCAGGAGAGATCCTGCCATGTTCTCAAGGTCACACACTCAGGGTGGGGATGATCAGTACATTATTAAGACCATGATTGTAGATCACATACAAGGAGAAAATGTCTAAGGGATAGAATTTTGAGAACAGTTGGGTTCTATAAGATAAAGTAGGCAGGATGTCCAAGGAGATTGAGAAGCTGGGGGAAGTAATCATTGTCATGAATAATTATTCTACCAGGTGTATCTGTAAGGTCAAAGGTGAAGAAAGTTTGAACAGTAATTGTCCTGAATATCCCTCCGGTCAGGCTAGCTGTAGAGAGATGAGAATGTGCTTGATAATTGAAAACATTCAAATTTACATAAAATAATCTGGAAAAAGGAAAAATAAGTTACTTTGGAAAAACAGATTCTGATCTAAATTAATTCAAGAATAAATAAAAATCTATGTAGTCTGGTGTGATAGCACATTCCTGTAATCCTAATACAGGGGAGGATGAAGCAGGCAGTGGCTTGAATCTAGGAGTTGGAACCAATCTGAGCAACAACAAAAAAAGAATGGTGGACAGTCTTAAGATGGTGTGTTCCCACTGAAGTTATATTTTGTATTTGTATTATATTTTGTGTAATAATTGGTGATGCAAAGACTGGGTTCTTGTATTTTCTTAGCAGATGACAAATGTTTGATAAGGGGCTAGTTGATTGTATTCCACATGTCGGGGGTAGAGACCAGATGAATGAAATCTGTAGCACTGATAGGAGCATTGGACACAGGCTCACTTTCCTTGGTTGTAATGAAGATTTTCGTTTTTGAGAGCATTTTTGTAATGTGCTGAAGGAGGATTAGCAAATAAAACCACATCTTTCAAAAACCCTTCATTTGCTTGCTAAAAATACACTTACCATAAATGCCAGTTTTGGGTCCTAGAAAAATCTTGTAATTATGTGTTTAACCCTTTTAAGTCACTGTTTCCTGTGCATTTCAGGTTACATCAGCCTCTTATCCATTTCTCAGTTGCTTGATCTGAGGTCCTGAATATACTTGGGGCTGTTCGTATAATCAGAAGTGGATACTACACTATCATTGATTTTCTAAACCTTTATTTATTTATTTTGGTAGTACAGGGGTTTGATCTCGGCTTTGTGCTTGCAAGGCAGGCTCTCTACCACTTGAGCCATGCCTCCAGCTGGTAAATCTTTTTTAAATTGAATTCATTGTTTGCTTTCCGATAGTGAAAAGGAAGAAGATGATAATGAAAAGAGAGAAGATCCAGGCGATAACTGGGAAGAAGGTGGAGGTGGTAGTGGTGCAGAAAAATCTTCAGGTCCCTGGAATAAAACAGCTCCAGTACAAGCACCTCCTGCTCCAGTAATTGGTAATTTTTTGTGTCCCTTTCTGAAAGATGTCCAGTTGTTTTATATGTTGTTGGCAACCAAATGTCACCCTTGCAGGGAGTGTGGCTCCTTTCCATTGATGGGAGAGGGGGTTTGTCTCTTTAAAGACTTTGGAATCTTAAATAGAAAGAATTTAGAAGTTAAGAGACATACTTTTGATAAAATTTTATGTTTTGTGGTGCTGGGGAATTGAAGCCATGGCTTCACACATGCAAGGCAAGCAGTCTATCACTAAGCTACAGCCACAGCCCAGCTGCTGAAATTTATATTGGATAAACTCAATTTAAGTATTTAAGCATTTATTCTCGTTTCCTCCCTGATACAACTCCTGACAAAGGGGGGAAAAGAGTAAGGAAAAGATTTTCATTCACTAGAATGCAACTTAAGATTCATTTAGGATTTTTCATAATGATTCCCAAAGATTAGGTTTAATGCCAAAAGTTTTCAAGGAGAGGAAATTCTTAGAACTGTCATCCTGTTAAAATATCTTTGGCCTGACATTGGTGGCTCACACCTGTAATCCTACCTACTCAGGAGACAGATCAGGAGGATCTCGGTTGGAAGCCAGCCTGGGCAAAATAGTTCAGGAGACCCTATCTCAAAAAAACCCTAACCAAAAATAGGGTTGGTAGAGTGGCTCAAGGCAAAGGCCCTGAGTTCAAGTCCCAGTACCACACACACACACAAAAATGTTTGTTAGGTTAGTAAGGAACATTGGGCACCTTGTTTCACTTGGGTTTTTGTTTTTCCATTTTCTATTTACTCAATTTTTTTTTTTTTATGTTTTATAAGGTGTGAATTCACAGCAGGACTGATTTTTATCAGGGTAAACTGATTCTTTGGGGGTGAAGAAATCTTAGGTTTGTTTTTGTTGTGCTGGGGATTGAGCCCAGGGCTTCTCATGTGCTAAAGTACTTCTACCACTGAGCTAAACCCACATCCCTAAAATCTTAGCTCTGGCAGTGCTTTACAACTCACCAAACGACCAGAGTACATAAGTACGTATACAGAACCTATACAATAGGTTCTGTAGGTATACAGAATATATAAACTAATGTATACTCATTATTTTATACAGAATCTTACTCTTCAAAGGTAACATAAGTGCTGTGTAGTAACATTTCTGCATCCTTTCTAGCCCTTTGCTCTATGTATTGTTTTGTTCACTTAAACTGCGTTCTGTCAGTGTCCCTGCCATCTTAGGACCCATCAGCAGCCCTTGACATACTTAATCACTCCCTCCAAAGGATTCTGTGGGCTTTTAGGACACCACACTCTTGCTCATTTGATTGTGGACTTTTTTTACTTGCTTTGCTGGAGCCTTGTGTATGCTAAGTGTGTTCTACCACAGAGCTGTACCCCCCACCCCCAGCCACTCCCTGGTTGGTTGCTGCTGTCTGCCTTCCACTGGCTTTATTTTCTCTTTTTTTTTTCTTCGGCCTCTTAAGTGCTAGTGAGCTCCAGAGCTCAGTTTTGCATGTCTTTTCTGTCTATCCTTCTTCCCTTGGCAATCTCATGCCAGAGACTCTCACATTTACCTCCTCAGTTTGGATCTCTCCTGAACTCCAGACACTTGTATCATAACTGTCTACCAAGCATCTCAAACTGAGCATGTCCAAACTGAACTCCACTCTTCACTCCTCACAGGTCTGTTCCACACAGCCTTTGTCACATAGCATACCTAGGTCACAAACCAGAGTCATTTTAAATCTTTATTCTTGTGCTTTGGTTTTGCATTCAGTTCTGGTTATCTTTGACTAGCTCTTAACAGGTCTTCTCCTACCACAGTGATTTGAGCTGCCATCACTTTTTATTTGGATGACTAAGTTAGCACGTCTGCCTTCTTCCACTTCTCCCTCCACCACACCCCCACCCCCACTCCCACCCCCACCCCCACTCACTCTTCTCAGCACAGTAGTCAGAGTAGTCATTTATTGCGATAGTGGAAATTGAACCAAAGACCTCAAACTAGGCACACTCTGTATCACTTGAGCCATAATCCCAGGTACCCTTTTGAATTTTTTTTTTTTTCTTTGCAGTAAGATTTCACTGACTACTGGTGTTGGCCTCATATTTCAGTCATCCTGCCTTCACCTCACAGGTGCTGAGGTTACAGGCATGTACGGCCACACCCAGTTTCAGGTGTATTTTAAAAAGGATCTAGCTGGCAGACAGGCAAGAGTTCAAGGCTTGCCTGAGCAAAGATAGCAAGATCCTATCTCAAAAGAAAAATTTTTTTGGGCGGGGGGGCAGGTGCTCTGCCACTTGAGCCACAGCCCCAGCTCATTTTACACATCTTTAAAAAAAAAAAAATAGACTCATGGAAGTTTTTATTTCAATGTGTATCTCGAGTACAGTTTACATACTCATTAAATAATATAATATATAGTTCTTCCTCCATATAGTCAAAGACTACAAAACAATAAACCTTATACTAGCAGTATTCAGATGGCTTTGTTATAATGGCTGTGTTATATTTTAGCTAGTAAGTGAAGATGTTTATTTGAAATTAAGGGTGGTTTTTGTGTGTGCGTGCATGCACTTTTTTTTTTTCTTTTGTGCTGGGGTTTGAATCCCAAAGCCTTGTACATATTAGGCAAGCACTGTACCACTGAACTACAACCTCAGCCTGAGATTTAAGTTTTCAATAAGTGGGAAACAAACATCACACTGAATCCATACTGAGGATTGGTTGGTGGAGAAAAGGCTGAAAGGCTGTGTTCTCAGAGTGTTAGCCATAGTGGAAGAGGTTGGGCTGTTCTCATTTTTTTCCCATTTAATCTGTTTTCTAAGAAAACAAAAATGAGGAAGAACCTTAGAATCTGTTGATGTGGAAAAGAATGAAATAAATGTATTTTTGTCGGTACTGGAGTTTGAACTCTGCTTCGTGCTTGCTAAGCAGGCACTCTATTTTGTGAGCCACATTCCTCCAGCCCTTTTTGCTCTGGATACTGTTTTGGAAATAGGGTCTTTGGCCTAGGCTGGCCTAGACCGTGATCTCCTGTTTTAGGTTCCCTGCCATCACTGATTGGCAGGTGCACACCACCCACACCCAGCTGTTGGTTGAGATGGCGTCTCATGAACTTATTGCCCACACTGGCCTCAAACCAGAATCCTTTCTCAGCCTCCCAAGAAGCTAGGATTACAGATATGAGCCACCAGTGCCTGACTTTATATTATTTTTTAATACTACCTAGGCATTTTATTAATTTAGCCTCACATCCAGTGATTGTTCACATTCACTCAGAAACAGCAAGTACTGGTGCTGTGTCATGGTCTCTAAGGGCTGTTTTCAGAACCAGAGGAGTCCTTCCCCACATCAGTAACAGCACTTACAGAATTGGACTAGTAATTGAAATTGTGCATGGACGACACAGAACACCACTTAGTGTTTTCACTTTGAAACATTTCCTTAAGTAACTTTTCTTACTGTCTGACCCACAGAACTTTCCTATATTGGGTTGCTTTTTTCCAAAATTGTTCAGCAGTTGGGAGTGCAGGAAATGCTTGTTAAAATGTTGAACATTTGAATGGTTTTCTAAAATACTGTAAAATATCAGTTACAGAAACCCCAGAACCGGCAATGCCTAGTGGTGTGTACAGGCCTCCTGGGGCCAGGCTAACCACAACAAGGAAAACACCACAAGGACCACCAGAGATATACAGCGATACACAGTTCCCATCCCTGCAGTCCACTGCCAAGCATGTAGAAAGCCGGAAGTGAGTACTATGATGAGTGCATTGTGGGGGGACCTCTGGCCTTCACTCCGGGAGGGAGGCATGGGAATATGAAAATCCACTTGAAGATTACTCCTTATTGGTAAAGCCCAGGCTGCCTCTGAAGGCTGCTGAGAATCACAGTAGGACTTAGATGACCTGGGGGTGGGGCAAGGGGTAAGTGTCCTCAAAAGGTAAGGGGGAAGAGCATTCCCGTCTGCTTCTGCCATACTTCTTCTGATCGCTTGTTCATGTTTTGTGGTAGTGACAAGTTGCATTTAATTAAGATTCTTAAGAAATACCCTATTGATGGTATTATGTTCCTTGTAATGTGGAACCTAGAAATGAGAGAGCAGTATTTCATCATATTCCCAGTAAATGTGACTAGATTGAAAGATACTGGCATTTAAAATAAAAACCTAATACTAAAAACAATCTTATTTCAGCAGGTACTTAAAATGAATGCTACCTGGAGTTAAATGACCACATGTGGCACATCTACAGCTTATTTAGGGACATGAATTTTTAAAAATAAAATGGGAAGAAACGTAAATGACATCAGATGGAAATGTTCTTTTGGGTGGCTTTTAAAGTAAATCCCAGCCTTTTCGCCTCTTTGAGAGCACAGCTGGCTTGAATTTAGACCTCCACTTGGACTTGCTCCTCCGCTCTGTCCTACAAAATGTTTAAGAGACTCTTGAGGGCAGTGACTCACCACACTCATCTTTCTTTACCTGATCTAATCTGACCCACTCCCACGAAATAGAAGGGAGGAGAAATCATTGAATGAGGAGTACTTTACTTGAATGAGAAATTATTACCCTTACTTATGCATAAGAGAAACATACCTACTAATTGCTGAAAGTAAAAGTGAGGCTTACCAGGAATGTCATTACACAGCTTCTTTCCAGTTGTCTTCAAGTTGGTCCTAAAATAGGGTTGCAGTCTACCATTCAGAAGATGGGACCATAGAGCTTCAGTACAGTATTACACATTTTCTGTTCAATCAAAGCCTTACAAGTTTGATAAGGATTTTATACTCCCTATCCCTCCCCAAGATTCTTCTAAGGGGTGACTTTTTTTTTTTTTTCTTTTAAATTCCAGAAGAATGTTTTCAAAATATCCTAGTGAAGAAGAAATATTTACTGATTAACATTTCTTTTCCCTTAGGGATAAAGAAATGGAGAAGAGCTTTGAAGTAGTAAGACACAAAAATAGAGGTAGGGATGAGGTTTCAAAAAACCAGGCCCTTAAACTTCAGCTAGACAACCAGTATGCTGTGCTTGAAAATCAGAAAAGCAGCCACGTACAGTACAATTAAGGAATGGTCTTTGCTAACCCTTCTAAGGTAACTAGACCACAGCTAACTACCACGAACAGCCATTCATCATCTGACCTCTGATGGATCTACAGCAACCAATGCAGACCACTCGATTTCAGGACTGGCCCTATTGCACTATGGAAGTTTAAAGTGTCACAACTGCTCTTTGTGTATACTGGATTCAGGGGAGTTTTCATAGTTGTATAAACGCGTGACCTAGATTCAGCAGTGTTTTTTTCATAATCGCTCTGCAAATACAAAAAACCAAAACCTGCAGCCAGTGGTCATTTCAAAAATCTTTTTATGTTCAGATACTGAGCCTTCGTAAGGGTTGACTACCTCAGATTTGCTGCATTCATTGTGGACTTCATGTGGCTTGCACTTCTGGATAAGAAGGTTACAAAAATTAAAGTGTCGGTGTGAACCTTGCAACCAGCTCTACTGGATTCCTATCAGAAATCTTACAGAAAGTCAGCCATCTGGGTTCTGATCTGCTGTAAAACATAAAGCTTCAAGTGACCTTAATTAACCTGTCCTGTCCCCCACCCTAAGGAATACTCTGTAGTAGGCTGTGGCTATGTGAGACTTCCTGGAACATGCCGCTCTCAAAAGAACTGATGTGTTCAGATCATCTGTATAGGGCTGTGATTTATAATTTAAATTTTCAGCTTTAGTCTGAGGTAACTGAAATTAAATTCCACCAAACTTGGGTCCACAAAGTGGGAAAGGGGTGGGAGGGGAAACAGTCTTGTTTGAATAATTTTTTTATTTGGATAGTACTTTTTTTGTGTTCCACATTAAGGCCTTTTTTGCTTTGACTTGGAATAAGTTCTTTGACAGAGCGTACAGCTTGGTTAAGTAAGTAACCTGAAATATGCATTAGAATTGTGAACTGTCTTGTGAATTTGCCAATCCCTAGAGTGGAACCAAATAGCCTTTGATATAAAGAGTAGCAGAAGGTGGAGGCTCTACTTCAGGTGCTGCTAAAGCCTCCTCTAATCAGGTCTAAATTGTGTAGTAGACTGCTGTGGAAGGAGTGATGTCTGCTCAGGCAAAGAGATTCACTGACCTGTCGTTAAAGATTGACAGCAACGCGAGCAAAACCTCACCTTAGCACCCTCTGAAGTTCATGATCTTGCATGGTCTTGATGAGAATTACTTGTGTACTTGTTCCCAAATACTTAAGGTATTGGATGTAGCGATCGTCCCAACTAGCTCTGTTGTCAGCCTTTGGTGTCTTCACAGTGTTCATTTGGAAAGGCAGGGCAAGAAAAGACAGGAAAGTATCGCTTATGTTTTAATAGTTACAGCGTAAACTATCCAGTTGTATTTAGTCCATGAAAGAGACTTGAGGAAGTGGCTTTCCATCTAATGAGAGAGTGGCAGTTTTCTAGATTTGTGTCTTTGGTTCAATAGAAAGTCCACAGTGGTATGTGACCACTTGACGCAGCAGAGTCTGGGTTTCTCTGGAGCCCCTTTGCCAAACACAGGAGTATACAGGCTTGCTACTGGCAAGAGTGAAGCAAATGGGTGAGCATTTTCCTACAAGTTCATCTGTGATGAGTGTGCCAATGCAGGAATTGGACCCCCAGGAAGCTAGTGTTTCCTGAAGACCTGCAGCCACTTCTGGAAATAATGGCATTACTGGAGGTGGCAGGTACAGTGCCTGCCTCTGATGTACTTGGGTGTGAGGTATTTGAGTGAGCCAGCCAGCAGCAGGTTGGATGGTTAGGTAAGAAATAAGGGATTGTTGGTTAAACTGAAGATTTCATTTGGGAACCAAAAACCTTAATAGGTAATCTCCTGGACCTTGAGTCACGTACTTAAGTATGCATTTTTCCCACAAAATTTTGGGGGTTGTGTTACTGAGAAATGGAGTGAGACAAAATGAAGGGGTTATTTAATGGCATACTGTACTGGAAATCTGAAGACCTGCAGCAGATTTAAATCCAACTCTTAGTATACTATTTTTTAAAAGATTGTGAAATTATCAAAATGCACATGAATCAAGTTTTAATATACTGTATGATGGGTGGATGAGGCTGTCCATTGTACCATTTCTTTCTTTGGATTCTCAGGCATGGTTTGGCAGTGCAAGAACTCTGTAACATTAACAAATTCAATAAAATGTAAGTATATGGATCATGGAGTGTGATAGTTTTATTCTGAACCCTTTATTCTAAACCCTTTCTCCTAAACTGTCGTTGAAAATAATGTCATGTGTAGATGCTGTGGGAAGGTGAGTGTGCTCTCCATCAGGAGTGTACTTTGTGTTTGAAAAATGCTTGCAGAGTACCAGGTGTTAAAAAAGTCAAGGGGAACGACAGTGGTTGCAAAACTGATAAATACTCTGAAAAAATACTGAGATGACTTTTGTTTTTAGTTTATTAAATTTTGTTATCTTAAATTCTGGTGAAGGAATCTGAATCTTTATCCTGTGTGACGAAGAGATTTGAGACTTTTCTCTCTTGGAGGTTATACATTTCTTAAAGGAGCAGTCACTTTGGGTGTAGTTTGGGTTATATAGTCCTAGAATTTCTAAACCAAAGAAATTGTTTAAAGTCACTCCTGGAGTAATGGAATTTAAATATTTAAACAATTTACTGCTTGATTATTCTTTATACTTGCTGGTCCTATTTAAAGTAGAACCTACAAGAATCCCTTACTCTTCCCTCTCATTTTCTCCATAAGGTGGTGGTTTTCTGTTTTTTTTTTCCGCAGTGCTGGGGTTTGAACTGAGGACCTTGATAGGCAGGCACTATTGTTTTTAAGTGGGACAAGTTAGTGTACCTCACCCTGGGCCAAGGAGAAATTGAAATAATTCATTTCTGCAGCCCATCCATAGGGTTTTTTTTTTTTTTTTCCGTTTAACTTGCTTTTTAAAAGTGTATAGTTGATGTAGTTTTCACTGTGTTCTCATGGTTATGCAACTTATATCACCACTTGAAATACTGTCATTCCCCACCCCACCCCCAAATCCCCCAGCCCTAGGCAACCCTATTTTAATTTTTGTGACTGGCCTCTTTCACTTAACGTGGTTTTGGGTCTCATCTGTGTTGTGACAGGTGTCAGGGTTTCATTATTGCTAACTAAGTTAGTTGTCTGGATGTACCATGCTTAGACATCCATCAGTTGGAGGACACCTGTGTTTGCATTTTGTTATGAACAAAGTTGCTGTGAGTGTTCACGTGTAATGTCTTCATATATCAACATGTTTTCAATTCTCATGTGTAACGAGAAGTAAAATTGCTGGGTCATATGGTAACCTTCCTGTCACCTGGAAGGGTATATGGAACAATTTCATAATCATCAGTACTGAGGTCCTTGAAGTCCACCATGAAGAGCATTTCAAGGGATTTCACAAAAACTCAGAAGGTGGAAGGGCAGCAAAGATTCATTCAGGAAAGTAGGACAAAGCAGGGAGAAACAGAAAAGGGAAAAAGGAGCACCTCCTGCTAACAAGCAGAGGAGTTCAAGGCAGTGTTCAGAGTCCCAGCTATATTTATGTGTTGTAGACTAAGATGGAGGATGTCTTCTCAGTCAAGTGGTAACATCACTGAGTAACCTTTGATCATTTAGCTAAGTTCCTGTTTCAGTAGCACCCAAACATGGAGTCAGTGATTTTAGGGTGGCTTTACTTTTATCCAGATGTGGAGGCAGTGGGTTTAGTGACAAATGGCTAACTGATTTTGGGGGTCTTGATCATTCCATTATCTAAGAATTCACCAAGCATACCTATTCTGGGGTAATTTACTCGTGGAAGAAATTATAACTCACTGGACATCTGAAAGAAGGGTTTGATTGATGCTTGTATTTAAAGAAAGATCAGCAGTCAGCATCTTAATCATTTACATGTATGTGGTCCTTCAAAATGCCTGGCAAAGGGAAGCAAAAGTCACTGCCAAGATAACTCCCAGGGGTGTGGCTACTGCTACAGTGACATCTTATTCATATATACACTAAAACCTTTCAGTGGTTTCTTTTTCATTGTCTTCCCATTTCTCTGGCATCTTGTTCCTATCTCTGGACTCCCTACCAACAGCATCTGAGGATTCCAGTTTCTCCACATTTGTTTTAAAATATTTTCATTCTAGCCTTCTTACAGCATGCGAAGTAATATTTCATTGTGGGTTTGACTTGCATTTTGCTAATCACTAACAGTGCTGACCATGTTTTCATGGGCTTACTGGCATTTGCATATCTTTGGAAATTTGCCAGTTTCAAAAATTTAGCTGTTGGGCAGTTGAGTTGTCAAAAATTCTTTATATACTCTAGGTACTAGTCTCTTTATCAGATACATAATTAGCAAAGACTTCATGCCACTTTGCTTTTTATTTTTGGGCGGCATTGGGGTTTGAACTCAGGCTTTATGTTTGCTAGGCAGGCGCTTGAGCCACTCTGCCAGCTCTGCCTGTCTTAATGTGTCTTTGAAGCACACAGTTGACTATTTTGATGAAGCCCTTTTTTTTTTTTTTTCCTAGTACTGGAGTTTGAACTCAGAGCCTCACACTTGCTAGGCAGGTGATCTATCACTTGAGTCACTCCTCCAGCCCTATTTTGTTGGGTATTTTTTGAGATAGGGCTGGCCTCAAACCCTGACCCTCCTGATCTCTGCCTCCTGAGTAGCTAGATTACAGCTGTCGGTGGTGGCCCTTGTGTTAGCTTTTTCATTGGGTCTTTGACACACTCTTGAGTTAATGGTGTGAGTTAGTGTGTGTTCTAATGGCTCAAATTCATTCTGCCACTGGGTAAATCCAGTTGCCCAGAGCTTTTTCTTGAATAGATTCCTATAGCTATCTTTATTTGGCAAACTACACACTTTATTATTTCCCTCTTAGATTGTGAACCTGGTGGGGGATGGGAAATAGGTAGAGGCGCCAGTAAGTCAAGAATGTGGGATAAGAAGTGAGAGTTCAGGCTATGGGTGTGACCAGACAGGCAAAGGAGCAAAGAACCAAGGCCAGTATTTGTATTTAGTGAGTGGAAACAAATCAGTGGGGGTATCTGGGGATCTGAAGAATTATGAACTGGTATGCTAAGTGTCCTGAAACTGCAAGTTCATCATTTTGTTAGTTCATCAGTGGTGGTGCACACCTGTAATCCCAGCAGAGGCAGGAGGATCACAAGTTTCGAGGCCATCCTGGGCTACAATAGTGAAACTGTCTCAAAACATACACTAAAGTAAAAAGAGCTGGGCACTGGTGGCTCACGCCTGTAACCCTAGCTACTCAGGAGGCAGAGGTTGGGAGAATTGAGGTTCAAAAGCCAGCCCTGGGCAAATAGTTTGTGAAATCATATCAAAAAAACCCACGAAACAGCTGGTGGAGTGGCTTAAGGTGCAGACCCTGAGTTCAAACCCAAGTACTGCAAAGTAAATAAAATGAATTAAAAATGTTCACTTTGGGGCCGAGGATGTAGCTACAGACAGTGCTTTTGCCTAACACGAGTGAGTCCCTGTGTTGGCTCCCCAGGTTCCCACCCTGTAAAAAAGTCAGTAGAGCGAGACTAACATTTTAGAGTCAACTGTCAAGACACCAAGCTGAAGAGAATAAAAGCACTGTGCTTGAGGGAAAGAAGCAGCTTTAGTAATTCTATTGATAAGGAAGCTATGTAAGAAACTAAATATTAGTCTTTATTCTGATAGCTGAGCCACGCATGTACATATCAATTTAGTATTACAGTTAGAGGACTCCACCCCACAAACACCTTCAGCACCCACCTCCAGCTGTTTCTGTCTTGCAGCACTGGGGATTAAACTCGGTCTTGCACATGCTGGGCCAGTGCTCTAACGCTTGAGCCACACCCTCAGTCTTTTATTTTTGTATTGTTTCTGAGATAGGGCCTCCTTAACTTTGCCTAGGCTGGCTTGGAACTCAGGATCTTCCTGTCTCTGTCTCCTAAATAGCTGGGATTACAGGCATATACCACCATGCCTGGCCTAAGGATACAATTTAAAGGATCTCCTTACATACTAAAACTAGCCATGACTATTTTCCAATGACTGACAAGGGGGATAATTAGACAACCAGGTGGCTCCCAAATTTTGCTGTACATTAGGATTAACTGAATTTAAGTCCCTATGCTCATCCATACTCAGTCAATTAAATCAGAGTGCCTAGAGGTCAGTATTTTCCTAGAGCATCGAGCTGTTCCACAGAGCAGCAGGTTGAGCAGGTGGACATCTTGCAGTTGCCCACTTTTTATGAAGAAACTGCTCACAGGATAAAGATTTGTAATCCTATCTACTCGGGAGGCAGAGATCAGGAGGGTCACAGTTTGAGGCTAGCCCTGGGAAATAATTCGAAAGACCTTATCTCAAAAATACCCAACACAAAACAGGGCTGGCAGAGTGGCTCAAGTGGGAGAGGACCTGCCTAGCAAGCTTGAGGCCCTGAGTTCAGAGTACCACCACCAAACAAAAAAGAAAAAAAATTCGGCAGCAGCCTTTCACCCTGTCTACTCTGCAGTTAGAAAGGAAGGATACAACATCTCTGTCCTCAGGTAATGGTTTTTTCTAATGGTTTATTTTTTTACGTCTTGCCTTCCTACACAAAAACATGAAATCAGAGTTAGGGGTTGTGGCTCACTGGCAGAGCGCTTGCCTAACAAATACGAGGCCCTGGGTTCAAGCCCCAGTGCTGGAGAGAAAAAAAAAATGGGGTACTCCTGAAAAGAAGATAAAGAATGGCATAGAAGAGGATGCCAACTCCGTCACAATATTTAAGAAGCAGTAAAGTACACAGATCTGGAAACAACTTGGGGTTAAAACTGCCGGGTTTCAGGAAAAACACTTGTCACGGATCATGCTCCTAAAATGCAACGCAGTTGTAGGCCATCACCCCAAATAGTTCCTGGTTAAGTGTGGCTTTGGGAGGGTGGCTGCCTCCTGCCTTCAGCGTCTCAGAACCAAGGCTGTCTGGTCAACACTGCCTGCCTTCCCCTGGTTTGTTTTGGCTCAGTTACACCTGGATTTTCAAAGATTTCACAACTCGGCGCTCTCCTGGACTTAAGTGAACAGTTAACCTTACCGGGGACAAGCTTGGCACGTGCGGCTCATCTGTTCAGGGCTGAGAACCTCAAGCGCTTGGCGCTCTCCTCGGTGGCCTTATGGGCTGGCTTCACGTGGGCGGAGCTGCGTGTCTCGGGCCGGTCTTTGGTGTTAAGTTGCCGGGACTACTGGGGTTTGCTCCCTGGGTTTCTCAGTTACACGGTCCAAGTACTTACCTTTCATTAGTCAGGGACTCGAGTGGCACCATGACAGCAGGGGTGGAGAACAATGTGAGCTGTCTCACCCCTTTCTTCTCCCGACATCGGTGTCTCTAACCTTCAGCCCCAGCCTAGCAAGGGCATAGCCAGTGTGAGGGTTGATTGTTGTGGTCAGGTAACGGGTACCCCGCCGGCTGGACGTCCCCAAAGACGGGACGGCAGGTCCGGAAGCAGCTGCCGCTGTGACGAGGGAGCCAGAACTCCGCAGGATCGTGGCTCCCGCGCTCGCTTAGCTGCATTTGAGGCCTTTTGGAACCCTCTCCACTGGAAGTGCACTTGGCCCTGTTCCCCCGAGGTTGCCCCCTTTCGTGTCCCCTCCGAGCGGCACGGTCCCTAACGTGGGTTGGTCCATGGCCACCCTGCTTTTAGGGAGTTTCACGTACAGTAGCGCAGCGACTAGGAGTCACGCCAACTCGTTCCCACAAGCCGATTTTGACGATTACCAGTTTGTGGCAACTCTTAGCCTTTGAAGTAGCCTCGTTTCCTGGGTTCAAGTTTCACCAAGACAACGCTTAACCGAAACAGCCATCACCACACCCGAAGCCGTTTCCATGGTTTTCCTCAGTTGCTCCATTTTTGTGTCTAGAGGAATGCACACCGCATGGTTTTCTAAGGCGCCCCAATTTCCTCACCACTCAGGTCATCCGGCTGCCAGAGCGCTCACTTTCCGGGTGAAGACGGCGCCAAGCTCGCCGAGATGGGTGAGCTCCGTTTGGGATTTGAACTGTTAGCTCAGCGGGGCGCCAGCAGCCCCCCTGCTGGATCGACCCCAGCTCGGACTCAGTGGTGTTCCCAGCTTCACGAAGTTGATCTGCCGGTGTCCACACACGATGTGGAGAACAGCAGTGGATTTATCAGGTGCCACCCATACCTCCCACTTCCCCAAACTGTGTCCTCTGAGATGATCCAAAAGGCACTCCCTTAAGACTTTGAGAAAGTGTCACCACGGCGCCTGTGACCTTGAAATCTCCCTGGTTGCTCCTTCATACCTGGGTGCCACTGAGGTGGCTACTCCCTTCGGGAGAGTGGAGTCTCAGGCTGCAGAGGCCAAGTGCGGTACCGGCTTCGGCATGGCCACTGCAGGGACACTGGAAAGCGGGAGCAGCTAGAGGTAGAGCCTGGTAGCATTGGCTATGGCGGCCTCATGGCTCAGTTGGAGCCCACACCCTCCTGCCATTTCTCCCCACTCACTCAGTGGCCCACATGCCCAGCTGAGGTCCATGGCCTCACCACCTACCATTTGTCTGCAGGACAGTAGCGCTGTCTCCCAGGTGTTCATCTTCTCCCCCTCAGACTTAGGGCAGTGGCTCCTTTCTGCAGTTGTTCTTTGACACTCGGTAATTGTCTTGCACCTACAGTTCCTCATGTTAATGACTCCCTCGTTAGGTGGTCTGGGTCTCCTGACTCAGTATTGACTGACTCTAGGTCAGGCAGTCTGATGAACAGGCATGGGGGAGAATACGTCACAGAGGGTGTGCTCTGCTTCCCACTGCATCCCAGCAGGCCACATCTGGGTGTCTTCCCAGGTGAAGTGAGCCATGAGCTCGGGTGGTGGTGGCTTGGTCCATCACGAAATTCCCCACTGCTGTCTACGTACCGGTTTCACTGTTAATGAAGACCACTGCCTAGGCCACCATATCCTTCCCTGTGACATCACATGCTGTTACCATTTGTCACCTGGAATTATTCTATAAAGATCTTTTTCCAAAACCATTGAGTTACCATGAAGTGAGGTTCATACTGATCCAGCAGGGTGATGGCTTGATTCTAAGTCTCTATTGCTTGTAAAGTTCTAGAACTCTTTTATGATTTAAAAATGTCTATATTAAACAAATACCTGTGCTATAGCCTCGCCCCCGCCCCCCAAATACCTCACAAACTGAAAGCAACAATGTTCATTTCAGGTTCCCAATGTTAAGCAAGCTTCAAATGGCTAATCAGGGCTGATCTCGAGTGACTCAGGTGATACAGTGCCTCACTAGGAAGCATGAAGCCCTGAATTCAAACCCCAGTATTGCCAAAAAATACAAAAAAAATGGGTTATCACAAAGTGGTAGAAAAACAAAGAGCTGCGAGCCTTGTTTTTTGACAGATCTAGATTGTGAAATATTCTTAGGGATATAGATGCCTATTTTTGTACAGCCTCAGCAGATTGTTTTACATTTTTAAAGGGTTGAGAGAAAATTATACAAAGACCCAGCCCACAAAACTTAAAAAGTTTATTACCTGTATCTCTACAGGAAAACTGCCGATACAAAGCAACCTAGGTGTCGGCGTGGTGGCTTATGGGATTTGGGGTGGGAGTCACAGATCTAGATTCCAGCATCATACACAAAGTCGTGCCTATGTCAAGCCCAGGTATCCTGGCCCAGGCTAAAACCTATGTGCATTGTTTGCTGGGACTGCCGTGACTGAGTGCCTACCACAGAGTGGGTCCTCACAGTTCTGAAGGCACCCAGCAGGGTTGCCATCTGGAGAGGCTTTTCTCCCGACGTTACCAGCTGTCCTCAGAGGGTCTTCCCTCTGCACCTGCCATGGGGGCAGCAAGAGCACTCGAGTCTTTTCCTCTTCTTGCAAGGACACTAATCCCACTGGATAAGGGGACCACGCCTGTATCCTCACCTCAATCACCGTCATCAAGGCACTGGCTAGTCATGGGGCGGGTGTGGGGGAGGCTTCAGCCTAGGTTTTTTTTGGGGCGGGGGAAGGGAAGAGTCTCAAGTCTGTCCCTAACAATACAAAATGTTAAATCTTAAGTGTAATTGCGTACTGTGCCTGTCATGGGCCTCTACCTTCACCCTCTGAGAGACTGTGTTCTAGGTGGTTTGCTGAATTCTAGGCAGTATCCTGCAGGCTAACAAGTCCTATTTGTTGAATTAATGCTGGTGAAGTCAAACTGATGCACAAAAAAATTCACAGGGTAACATCAGGTGCTAATGTAAAAATCAAAGTATTACAGCAATTCTGCAGCGAAACTAGGAATTGGAAGAATCAAGGAATGTCTTCCTTTTGAAATGAGAAAACTGCACACACTTGGACACACAGAGATGGGCCATAGGCTGAGGGGAAGCGGTTGGAGGAGGACACAAGCAGATTCTGAGTCAGAGGAGAACCCGCCATCTGAGCCCTCATGGACCCAAAGTGGCAGAAAAAGCAAACAGCAGATCAGGCAATTTTATCTGCGAAGGAAAGAATCACGTTTTAAAACCAATGGTGTGCTCATCGAGAAGTAGTTAAGTGGTAGAAAGGCATGCTTACATGCCTGAGGTCCTGGGTTGGTTCCCAGCACTGAAAGAAAAAGTTTTGAGAAGTATTTGAAAGAATTTTAAAGTTGTAACATTCAGGGAAACTTACTGCCAATGGACAAAATGATTTAGCTAACATCAAACGGCTGATAAAATGAGGCCCTGTGGTTTGGGGCGGGCTGGGTGCAGTTCACAAGGCAATGCTGGCACACTCTCTCTCAGTGTAGAACTCCAGCTGTGAGCCTGCTCAGAGCCAAGGGCAGGGATAGTCTCTCCATCTTGAGGAAAATCTGATGATAATTTAGCTGTTGAGACTCCTTGAGTTGCCTTTTAAAGGAAGTGAAACAGTTTACATCAAAATTACAGTCCTAGCAAGTTTGTCCTGAAGAAAGATGAGGTCGTCTTACAGTCAGAGAGCTGTGGTAACGCATAGAGTATTTGGTATTTAGGCTTAGCATAATGCAGGCAATTAATTCAGTAATTTCAATGTGTTTTCTTCTTAAACCTAATAGAACAAAATGCTGCACAAATAACAAACACCAGAAATGTTAGCAATTCATTTTAAGTTTTACAAATCTTTTATTGCTCAACAGATCCAACAGAACACATCTTCATACTAGTTAGTAGTGAGTCACTATTTTTATTCTTTATTGTCATATTTTCCAAGTTTTAGTGCCCAAACTTGGCAAACATCATGGAGGTTTGTACACACACACACATTTACATATATACACACATTTATAGCCCCAGCTTCCTCACTAAGCCTGTGCTCAAGCTTCTGTTAAAAAGAGGTAAAATGGTGAGAAGTTAAAAAATCAGGGAAAACATGAATAAACCCCAATCGACAACTTCTGTTTATGAATTAAGGGGAGACATTTTGAAGCAAAATCCATCACTTTGTTAAAACTTACACTAGCTACAGCTTCACAGAGTCACAAGAAAAATAAACAGAAAGCCCCTTACACGCTCACTGTGGCTTAATAACAATCTGGCTGAGGAATTTTTCTTTTTTTTTTTTGCAGTGCTGCGGGTGGAATCCAGGGCTTTGCGCATGCTGGGCAAACACTAGCACTGAGCTACACCCACAGCCCTTGTTATTTAAGGTAACTTTATTAAGGAACAGTTAATCGTCAGTGATTAAAAATTTCAGCTGTTAAAAACTTCAAGCGGGACCATCAGTACATTCTGATGCAAAAATTTTCAGACATTTGTCTTTAAGTCATTACACAAATCCATCACAGTAACATTCAGCCTTTTAACTTAGAACATTTAATGTTTGGTTAAGTGAAGAGTAGATCTGATTAGTGTACTCTAGGTCGTTTTATTTTGTTTTTCTCTGTAGGAGCTTTCCTCTTTTGTGATAATACAGGCCCAAGTTCCTTATTATTCTGAAGAAATGAAACAGCTTCTGGTAGACAGTAATTTTCTACACAAGGAGGGGATTCCTATAAAGGAAGAGTAAATATTACTTTTCTCAGATTGCAAACGTAGGTACTCAAGCAATAGATCCCTTTACTCAGCTTTCTGATAAGAAAAACTGAAAAGAAAAGCCATTAATTCCTCAGTTCTTTCAAATTGTGCCAATTAGGACATGTCATACTAGTGACAGGACCCTGTGGGACAAAAAACGGGTAGCTCAGATCTTAATCATGGTTCATGGGTAAATAGGGAACAAGATGGCCAACAGTTAAGTGTGAATTATGTGCTTAGTGTAACTGCCCTACCCCAAGCAGGTGTTTTCTCATCCCCTTTTTACAGATAAACCTTAAAAGGTTAATAAGACCCAATGTCACATACCTAGCAAGTGGCAAAGCCAAAATTTGTAGTCTTCTCCTCCTGACTCAAACCCTGCATTTTTCTCTTTCACAGCCATTTTCCAAATTTAAGAAGAAAAGACCTTCCTCCCTTACCATATGTGTAATGAAACTTGATGTTGTGACAAATAAGGCAGACTGGATAAACCACATTAAAATCTAAAACCTCTTCTCTGCAAAACACCCTGTTAAAAGGATAGAGAGCCAGTGTGGTGGCACAGCCTGCAATCCCAGCACTTGGGAGGCCGAGGCAGGAGGACTGAGTTTACGACCAGCTTGTGCTACATAGCCAGTTCAAGAGCAACCTGGGTTAAACAGGGAGACCCTGCCTCAAAACACCAAAATAATACATAAACAAGCAAACAAATAAATAAAAAGATAAAGAGAAGCTACAGACTGGGAGAAATATTCACAAACCACATATCTAACAAAGGACTATTATCCAAAACAAAACACTCAAGGTTCCACAATCACCCCCCAAAACAAACACCACACACACAAGAACCCAACTCAATCAGAAAATGGGAAGACATGAGCAGACGTTTTAATGGAGAAGATATAAACAGGACCATATGCACAACAGGTAATGCTCAACTTCACTAGTCAACAGGGAGATGAAAACTAAAACCACAATGTCTACAATAGACAACAGACCTAAACATAAAAAAAGCTAAAATTGTAAAGTTTTAGCGAAAGAGTATTTAGAGTACAGCGGTACCTTGGAGAAAATAAAGGACCCTCTAGGCAGGATACAAAATTCAGCCATGAAGAAAAAAGCAATTAACAACATCAGCCATCAAAGAAAGATCACAATGTGACCCCATGATGAACTACTACATGGCTATAAATCATGAATGACAACGCCAATGTGGGATGGGAATAAGGAACAACTGCAATTTTTATGCACTGCTGGTGGAAGTATAAAATGGTAACAAGACTCTGTGAGAAAAGGCCTGACAGCTTCTTTTTTCTCTTTCTCTTTAGTTTTTGCTGGTTTGAGACAGGGTCTCCCCATATATTTCCCATGCCTTAAAAAAAAAAAAAAATCTCCATAAACACAACTTTTAATAGTTGTATAATATTTCTTTTATGTGAATGTGTTCAGGTTGTTTTTTGACTTAACTATGTTAGGGCTAGGGCACAGCTCAAGTGGTAGAGCTCGTTGCCTAGCATGTGTGAAACCGAGTTCAAACCCCCAGTACCACAAAACAAACAAAAAACTATTTTAGAAGCATTTTTTTTTTCTTTTTGAGATAGGGTCTATGTAGCTCAGGATGACCTTGAATTCATGACCCTCCTGCCTCAGCCCTCCCGAGTGTTGGGATTACAGGAATGTGCTACCATACCTGGCATACATATTTATATTTCCGATTATATTTCCATGAGGGAGCAGTAAATGTCAAGTGTAGCATCCCAACTTCCCTATTCTGGAGTTTCTGATGTTGATATATGTTCATTCAGTTTAGCTTAAGATTTATCAATTGTTTCAGGACATAACTGGAGTCCTTACTATTTTTCAATTTTTTTAATACATGAAACAGTTTGGCTAAATATGAAATTTCTGGGTAACAAACGTTTCTCCTTAATTATGTAAGTGCTGTTGTCCAGACTTTGATATTGAGGTTATGGAGAGAGACAAGTCTGTTGTTTTTGACATATGTTCTTTTGCTGGCCTAAATGTTCATGAGATCTTCGTAGCACTTTTTGGTTTTTTGTCTTGTAAGTCTAGAAGTGGGGCCAGGATTCCTGGAGGCAGTAAGACATGGTAGGATTTATCTACTCTGCCCAAACTCTATCCTCTTCTCCATTTGGTTTTGTTTTCTTGCAGTGGTGGGGACTGAACCCAGGCCTTGTTCAAGCTAGGCAAGCGCTCCACTATTGAGCTATACTCCAGCCTTCCATTAAAGGGAGTTTAAAGTTTTTAGAACTTTACATGTCTCACTGACCTGAGCTTTTTTATAGGTTATTTCCGTGCTCAAGGAGACTTATTACTGGATTACTAAGTCCAAATCAGTATGCACAATTTGTGCAAAGGTTTCATATTTATGTTTTAGGCATTCCTCCTATTAAACCTTGAGCAACCCCTAAGCACAAGCAGCAAGATCACAAAGCAGCCTGAGTTTTGGCTTCCCCTTACTTCTACACCATTCCATTGTAAATTCTACATACTGAGACTTGATTACATGCTGATTCCTAACGGTCTTTCGGGCACTCTGGTGTCAGGAAGATTTTTCTTTGCCCATTCAAATCGTGTAACACAGGCCAATTCTGAACACAAGTGCAGTAAGTCCTCCAGATAGCAAATGCTTAATTTACCACCATATCTAACATAGATATTTACTGAATATCAACACAAAGGGTCAAGAAAACTAAAAAAGACCCTCAGATAAATGATTCTCCTTGGACTCCTACAACCAATTTCTACTTCTAACTCTTTCGGAGGTACTTAAGAGTCCTATAATATTGTCATATTTTACTTTCATGCTAAATGTTTTTATGAGTCAGTTATTACACAATATGGAACGGAAACTGAAAGGTTATGTTGAGTAGAACAGCAGGATTCTGAGGTGCAGTTATTTCTCTTCGTAGGTGTAAGCCCATCTCTGGTAGTAAGACAAGGACAGAATGTGACTAACCTGCATAAGAAAATCGGCAATGTATTCTGTTCTCAAGCAGTGCACGTTCTGGGCTACAGCCTCTGCTATATTAATTCCTGAGTCATCTGGTTTCAGTTTATTCAAGTCAGAAAAGAGATGTGTGGCCTCTTTAAAAAAAGGTACAGAGTGACCAGGTAGCACCTAATGAAAAAACAAGAAGTATCACAATCTACCAGAGTTGGAAGCAGTTCATCTATGCAATATATATCCATCACAGCAACTTGGATAGATAACAATTCATATAAAAAAAAACTTCAGTAAGTTGATTCGATACAGCCAGGTGCTGGTGGCTCACGCCTGTAATCCTAGCTACTCAGGAGGCAGCGATTAGGAGGATTGCAGTTCAAAGCCAGCACAGGCAAATAGTTTGTGAGACCCTATCTCGAAAATACTCATCTTAAAAAGGGCTGGTGGTCAAGGTGAAGGCCCTGAGTTCAGGCCCAGTATCATAAAAAAAAAAAAAAAAAAAAAAAAAGCAGCCAGTTGATTTGATACAAACCTTTGCTCCTCCTGACTGAAGAAGGCGTTTGAACCCTGCTTCTCGGGACTGGTCAACATGTAAAATGACCTTCCATCCACTAAATGCCCCCTATAAATGAAAAATAATCAGGTGTGAAATCATTTGGAAGATAAATGGTATTTATTTTAATGCATGCTATGATATGTAGATTCAGTTTGATGTCAACAAATAATCTTTGGTCAGAATAATCTGAAACACAGACCATCAGTTTCTGGGACACAATAGGCCATCAATAAATACTTGAGAAATAAAATGTAATGATTAAGTAATATTAAAACAAAGCAGTTTATGTTTTGTCGTTTCTACTATTTTTCCCTTACAATTAACCAAGGGGAAGTTGGGCACTAGTGGCTCATGCCTGTAATCCTAGCTACTCAGGAGGCAAATATCAGGAGGATCACAGTTTGAGGCTAGCCCAGGCAAATAGTTGGCAAGACCCTATCTTCCCTGTCCAGAAAGAACTCCTCACAAAAAAAGGCTCGTGGAGTGGTTCAAGGTGTAGTCCTTGAGTTCAAGTCCTAGTACCACAACAAAACAAAACAAAACAACCAAGGGGAGACCTTAATGCATAACATTTTAGATTAGATGAAGTCTTCATTATATTTCTCTTTAAAATGTTTGCAAGTTGGGGTTGCGGCCTAGCATGCCCTGGCTTTGATCCCCAGCACCACGAGGAAAGAAAAGAAGGAAAAAAAGCCACATGGACCACATGGCACTTGAATTTTGCGTGGTAGCACATGCAAAGTCTCAGCACTCAGGAGACAAAGGCAGGAGGATCCTGACTTCCAGGCCAACCTGGGCTACATAGTGAGACCCTGTCTCAGAAACACCAAAACTAAGGGGAAAAAAAAGTTTGCAAGTTGCAAATATAAAATATTTAAGTAGGTAGGGAGTAACACTTAACAGAAGCCAGTAAAACTACTGTCAAAGAAGGGGAATCAAGGCCAATGAAGACTTGGAGATGTTGGAGAATTTGGAATGTAATAGGAAAGATTATTTTCATTCAGGAGTCCACAGCCTTTTGTGAGGAAGACCCCTTTGGCAGTCTGATGAAACTTATGAACCCCTTCTCTAAAACATTTCTTTTAATAACAGCTTTACAGATATATAATTTCCATACCATATTAGTAATGGCTTTTTAAAGTTCAACTATAAAGGAAAGCAGTGCATGGAACGTTACCAAAATATTAAAAGCACATGTGTGATGTTAACAGATGTACTTTTTATTAACGCACTACATCACAAGCGCTAAGGATGGGTCTGACACCTACTACAATTTACAGTGGTGATGAGCACAAATGATATTTCGGGATACTTGCCATGATAATGCAAAACTAAAATATCTCACAAGAACTGTTAGAAAGTGTTGTGACTTAATGCCTAGAACTATAGTTAAAGGAAAGGCTAACTTTCAATTAGGTTAGAAAAATAAGGATGTATCTCCCCATCTGCCCACAGTATATACTCTTCTCCTCCAAAGGAGTAGCCCACGGACCCAGCATTAGCCTGTAGCTAATGCTGAAAAGAACTCTTCAGAAGAAATATAGTACAGGCCATATTTCACACACATATTTCTAGAAGAGCCATCAAGGTATGTATCTTACTGTGAAATACAATTAGAAGAGTTAGGAATTAATAGTAAGCTCAATTCAGAATGCCCAAACAAAGCCTATCTATCAAGGGACCAAAATCAAGAATTATTTTGTCAAGCATGTTCTCTTTAAAACAAACAAACAAACAAACAAACTGCAACAGTCACAATACTGAATGCCATTTATATTACATATAAATACCTCAACAATGCCTGATTCTTGTCTTTGCTGGATTTTTTTCCTCCACCGCATTGCTGCAAGTGCTAGTCTTCGTTGCTGTACATTGATGCCAGTCAAAACGTCAAGTATGGAACTACTACCCCACTCATAGTCTTCTTCCTAGAAAATTAATGCAACAAATGTTTGAATTCCTCTAATACAGGGAGAACTGTGCAACACACAGGTCTCACCTCAATGAACCTTTAATCTAGTAAGATTAAAGCTGTACATTCAACCGTTACAAAGTACTGAGTAGACGTCTGGTAAGCACGTGAAATATATAGATTAATTTGGTTTCAAATTAAGAATCAAGTGTATCTGGCTTTTCATAAAAATCAGAACTACACTGCATACATTTCTACAAAACATACTCCTTGGCAAGATAACTACATTTTGGCAACTGTTAATATTTAGCTCATTGGGCTTCACCTGCTATAAGAGTCACTTCACAGAAGGAGTCTCAGTGGAGGGATGGATGCATTGAGAACTTAGGATGTCTATGGAGAGATTCCTAAGGGGCTCTAGTTGAAAACTTGAAAAACTACAGTGTTTGGTTTACAATACTTACTTCAATACTTAATGGGCTAGTAGTAAAGGAAAAAGCTTACAATGACAATCCTGAAATCTCTTGCTAAGAAAACATGGTTCTATAATCTCTTTTTCACTTTGCTACCACAAAACTTATACAGCTGGTGTAATCTAACTGGTCACGCGGGGTTACTTCAACTGCAGACATCAGTGTATGTGCCAGAGCCTCTCTGGGCATGTACTTGTAAAGACAAACCAACCTTCCCAACCACGTGAACCCATACCTGCATGAAGTGTCCAGCAGTCCTGCAGGCTTCAAGGTAGGAGCGGTGAAGCACCCACTTCCCAGCTGCCACTGAGGCTAAATACTTCTCATTTCGAAGTGGGTGCCCTACAACAATGTGTGTGCAGCTGGGGTCAAAGCACTGCTTCTCTATCACCAACCCACCTACGAGAGAAAGGAGAATGTCAACTGTGCACAGAAATTACTTATGCACAGTGTCAGTCACACACCCCCACCAAAATAAAGCTTATAAATATTTTAAATACAAAAGTAGATGACATAGTAAAATGACAGCCTCACCCCCACTGGTCATGTAGATTCTAAAATTACCAAAACTTTGTCATCAAACTGCCCCCTCCCTTTTTGTGGTGAGCATAGTAGGCAATTGCTCTACCATGGAGCTACATCCTTCTGGCCCCATTTTTTTCTTCTTTTTTTTAGGTAAGGTCTCAGTACACAGCCCTGGCTGGCCTCAAATTCACCACCACCCTGCCTCAGCCTCCTGAGTACAAAGATTACATGAGAGCACCATCACACCCAGCCCCACAGTTTCTGAGAATCTTCTTTCTTCATGTCAAGCTGCCAGACTACTTTCTTAAAATATTTTTCCTAACTTTGTAAAGCTACTTTATTCAATACAATAGCCACTGGACACATGCTGTAAGTATAAAAGACTTCAAAGACTTATTACAAAAGAATGTAAAATATCTGATACTTTATACCAGTTGCATGTTACTTTGCACACACTAAGTTTAATAAAATATGTGTAAAAGCAATTTAACCTGTTTCTTTTTACTTTTCCACATGTGGCTACCAGACCATGTAGAATGGCACATGTGGCCTCTCTTCCAGTATGCTGCTTCTGGGGTCAGATGAGAGCCTGATGCCTAGGGAATGAGTACACAGGGAGGAGCTGCCCTCTGGATGTTACTACACTTCCAAGTTTATTAAGATGTGGGTTTATTGATATTGTAAGCCTATCATTTCAATGAGACTGTCCAAGGTTTCATCAATAAACAAATGCACTAGTACAGGAGATTCTTAATTGCTGATTTCAATTTAAATCTTAACAACAAAAAGCAATTTTCTGGTGTTGCGGGGGGAACTGAGACATGATCTCACTATGTAGTCAGGCTGGTCTTGAATTTGTGATCCTCTTGCCTCTGCCTTTCAAGTGTTGTGATTACAGTCGTGTGCCACCACTCCTGGCTGAATCTTTTAAATCCTTAATTCCCATGACAGTGATTTGGACATAACTTTATACGACCAAAGCTTTATTGCTGACTCAATGTACACCTTTGACAAGTTACCCATACTCTTCTCAACTTCTACATTACAAATGGCATCAGTATTGACTACATTTGACTTCCGAATAAGGTTGTTATTATAAGACATTTTCAAATAAAACACTGGTACCTAGTTTTTCAATCAGATGACAATAGTCAATACGTTCTTGAGGATTCAGAGATGACAACTGGAATATGTACTGCTTTTTAAATTTTTCATGAGTCTCCTCCAGTGTTACAATCTGGAACGGGATAGTTTTATTTTCGAAAAAGAAAATTAACATTAAAAAAGTTATCAGGTATAGTTATTTTGCAGTGACATTTTACTCAGTCTTCTGAGTTATCAAATATACAAATCATAATGCAAGGCAAAGAAATGCAGTTTTCATCATTTGATGAACCTCTGCTATTGAAGATGACAAACTTCTATTATGACACAACAGTGAAATCCAAAAGCCCCACCACCACTCCAAGGGTCAGCTAACCTTTTCTCTAGGCTGTGGAGCCACAGGTGGGTTGGCCAGGGGGAAGGCAATGCTGGGGGCCTGAGGAGTCGGGATCAGGTGACCGTCTTTTGTTGGAGTTTCCACTTCTTCAGAGATCAGGTGTTTTGGGGCTTCAGTCACACATGTACTTCCAGGATCACAGACAGCTGAGGGCAAAAAAATACTGCAGGGTGATACCATCCAAATACGACTAAACAAATTCTAGGAAATATTCTCATCTGTCTTGGCTAAAATGAAATGAAACACAAAATCTGCAATGTAAAAATGACACACAAGCTGGGCAGGGTGGCACATGCCTGTATTTCCATCACTCAGGAGGCTGAGGCAGGAGAATCTCAAATTTAAGGTTAGCCTGGGCTACAGCCGACTCAAAACTAAAAACAAAGGGAAAAAAAAAGTGCACACAAAAAAGTGACTCTAGAACCTATAAATAAACATGTTAATTAACTTTAAAAAGGCAAATGTGCTGTTTGGGTTTCTCTAACCCTTTCTTTAAACACTAGTCTTTCATCAGAAAGGTATAACCAAAATTAATGAAATGAAAGCAATTCTACTTGCTTTTCTACTTGGAGAAAATGAGAGGCTGAGATAAATCTATACATTTGGTAGAGAGAAATAACTGTGCAATGTGAAAAAGAGAAAAAAGGTGAGAGAGACAGGAAGCATTTGTTTTCAAGGTAAAAATTCAAAAAAATTGGCCAACTCAGAAAGAACTCATAGTCCAAAGAACAAATGTGGGTATAGCTGGGTGGAATTCAGAATAGGGAAATGAAAATGAGACAACAGTGAGAAAAACATGCAGTAACTGTACAGATGCAAAAAGGACTGGAATGAAAGAATGGTGAAAACCATGTTGGGGAAAAATGTCTAATCCTAAACTTCAAATCTGCACTTTGAGTGTACTTTTCAATTTACTGATAAAGTGAGAACCTCATTAGTTTTTATTTGTGCATACAATTCAGAGAGCCACAATGTGCTTATCTTTGAGTCCAACCTGTACCTGATAAAAAAAATTAACAGTTTTTTCCATTACCCTGTTCAGCAACTTCTGCATCATGCACAGGCTTTTGAAATGGAGAATCTACCAATGTTTTAATGTCCACCTGCAGTTCAGAGTACTGCGTGGGACAGCTGGGCCACTGCAGATTGCTGGCAAGCCTTGCTCTCTCCTCCCTCGCTGTTGGATCATCCCAAATGATCTGTTCGTTTTGGGAGGGCTCTGTGTTGACATCAGGTACTATTTGTCGAGACTGCCTAAGGAATCAAAGAGACAATTTAAAATAAGTGCCATAACAAAATACAAGCACATAAAATCTGTACCTTACACTGTGAAGGCTTTGTGGTTCATTTTTATATGCCTGACACTCTGCAGGAAGAAAGCACATGATGGGATTCACTGAATAAATGAACCAAAGGAAACGTTCTTTTTAAAATGTTTCTCCCAAAAACTTAAACACATATTTTAATGGAATGTCTACATGTTTAAAAATTCAAAGGGAAAGCTTAACATTGTTAAGAAATTTCTTAGAAATTCTAAAATAATTGCTTCATTTAAAAATGGGATTTCTCAGGCTAGAGGTTGAGGCTCACCTAACAAAGTGAAGCCCTAAGTTCAAACCCCAGTAGTTGCTAGGTGCTGCTCACGCCTGTAATCCTAGCTACTCAGGAGGCAGAGATCAGGAGGATCATGGTTCAAAGCCAGCCTGGGCAAAATAGTTTGTGAGACCCTATCTCAAAAAAACCCTTCACAAAAAAGGGCTGGTGGAGTGGCCCAAGGTGTAGACCTTGAGTTCAAACCCCAGTATTATTTTATGGGCAACTGGAGTCCTGTTTAGCCATAAAGGAAACTCAAGGTGTAGACCTTGAGTTCAAACCAACCCAACACCACCTTAAAAAGGGGTGGGGGTAATCTCTTAAGTACATAGGTTAGGGAAACATGGCAATTTTTAAGAAAACTGTGGTTTCTCTGCCTAATAGCTATATTTTTATCACTTGGAATTATATGACCTATAATTAAATGGGAGGCTAACTTTAGAGCTGCTTTTTAAATTCTTTTGGTCCTTGCCAATCAAACTTTCCATAGTCTATGGCAGACTAACCATTCAGTGATTACATTTAAGTGTGCTTTACAGTGTAATCATAACAATTCCACAAGAGAAAATAGAATTCTAAGCATGTTCTTTATATTTATATGTATATAATTTCATTTTTCAAAAATTTTATTAAGATAGCTGCATTATAAATATTTCAGATGCATACACCGTACTTTGAACAAGTTCACCTCCTCCATTATATTTCCTTAGCTATCTTCTTACCTCCCCCTGCCTTTTCAAAGTTTCATTATGAAATCTTCATATATATACATGTAATACACTTTGCTCTCCCCCTCCTACTGATTCCACTCCCCTATAGTTCCCTTTTACATTCATATCCCTTTTTATCATCATTATTATCATTTTAGATCCAGAGTTCACATATAAGCTTTCTGGATTTGGCTTATTTTGCTCCAAATGGTGATCTCCAGTTCCATCTATTTTCCTGCAAATGACATAATTTTAATTTTTTTGTGTCTAAATAATACTCCATTGTGTATATATACCACATTTTCTTTATCCATTGGTTGTTGGGCACCTAGGCTGTTTCCACAGCTTAGCTATACTGTATATAGTGTTGTGATGAACATAGGTGTTTAAGTGTCTCTCTTGTATACTGATTTGTAGTCCTTCAGATAAATGCTCAAGGGAGATATACTCAAGAGGTCATAAGACAGTTTTAGTTTGAGCTTTCTGAGGAACCTCCATACTGATATACGGATATATTATGATGCATCATATGTATATTATGCTGATACAGAGGTTGCTCTAGTATATATCCCCAACCAACAGTGTATAAGGGTCCTATCCTTGCCAGCATTGTTTGTTTTCTTGATGACAGCCATTCTGACTGGGGTGAGATAGAATCTCAATGTAGTTTTGATGTGCATTTCCTTTATGGCTAAGGTTGCTTCTTAGGCATTTGTACTTCTTCTGAGAACTATATGCTTAATTAATTTGCCCATTTATTAACTGGATTGTTTGAGCTCTTTCTATATCCTAGATATTCACCCATCACCAAATGAATAACGGGCAAAGATTTTCTTCCACTCTGTGGGTTTTCTCTTGATTCTGGTAATTGTTTCCTTTGACATGCAGAAGCTTTTTAGTTTCATGCAATCCTATCCATCAATTCTTGCTCTTATTTTATGGGCAACTGGAGTCCTGTTTAGGAAATGACTCCCTATGCCTATGACATCAAAAGTTTTCCTTATAGTAGTTTCATTACAGTAAGATCTTTGCTACATTTTGAATTGATTTGTTTTATACAGGGTCAAAGACAGGGATCTAGTTTGGATTTTTAGCATGTAGATATCTAGTTTTCCCAGCACCATTTGTTCAAGAGGCAGTCGATTCTCCAAGGTATGTTTTTGGATCCTTTGTCAAAAATCAGATGGCTATAGCTGTGTCGGCTTATTTTGGGGTCTTCTATTGGCCTGCTTTTAAGCCAGTATTGTGCTATTTTTGTTAATATGGCTCTGTAGTATAATTTGAAGTCTAGCATTGAGATACTTCTAGCATTGCTATTTCTGCTTAGGATTGCTTTGGCTATTTGGGGCTTGTTTTTACTTCCATATAAATCTTAGGACTGACTTTTCTATTTCTATGAAGAATGACATTGGGATATTGTATTTTCAGCAGTATAACTATTTTCACAACAGTAATTCTGCCTATCTGTGAGCACAGGAGATCTTTCCATCTTCTGGTGTCTTCTTCAATTTCTTTCTTCAATGCTTTATGATTTCATTGTAGAGGTCTTTTATCACTCCAATTAAGTTTATTCCTAGGTATTTTATATTTTTAGAGGCTATTGTGAAGTCAGATTTCCTGACTTTTCTGCCTATTTGTTGTTGGCAGATAGAAAGCAACTGATTTTTGTATGTTAATTTTGAATCCTGCTAAACAAGATTCAAAACAGTTTTGCCAAAGCTGTTTGTCAAGTCTAGGAGTTTCTTGGTAGAGTGTTTGGGTCTTTTAAGTATAGAATCATACTGTCTGCAAACAGGGATAATGTAGCTTCTTCCTTCTCTATTTGTATCCCTTTTATTTCTTCCTCTTGCCTTAGTGCTCTGGTTAGGAATTCCAGTACTATTTTGAACAAGCGTGGAGAGAATGGACAACCTTGTCTCATTCCTGATTTTAGAGGAAACAGTTTCCATTTCTCTCCATTTAGTGCAATGTTGACTAAAGGTCTGTCACATGTTGCCTTCATTTTGTTGAGGTATGTTCCTTCTATTTCTAGTTTCTTTAGAGCTTTTATCATGAAAGGATGTTGAATTTTGCCAAAGACCTTTTCTGCATCTAAAGATGCATCATCTGATGGTCATGTGATTTCTGTACTTAATTCTGTATATGTGGTATATTATATTTATTGATGTGCATATGTTGAACTATCCTTGCATCCCTGGAATAAGACCAACTTGATTAGTGCATGTTCTTTTTAATGTGTTGTTGAATTCATTTTACAAGTATTTTATTGAAATTTCTTACATCTATGTTCATCAAAGAAATTGGCTTATAATCTTTTTTTGTGGTGTCCTTGTCTGGTTTTGTTATCAGGGCAATACTAGCTTCATAAAATTTGTTCAGTAGCATTTTTTCCCCTTCCTATTTCATGGAATAATTTCAGTAGCAATGGTTAGTTCTTCTTTAAAGCTCTGATAAAATTCAACTGTGAATCCATCCAGTACTGGGCTCTTCTTTGTTGGGAGACTTTATTACTGCTTCAGTCTCATTGCTTGCTGCAGATTCCCATTGGGTCAATTTAGGCAGGTCATGAGTCTTTTAGAAATTTATTCATTTCTTCTAGACTCTCCAATTTATTAGAATATAAGTTTTTGAAGTATTCCCTGATGATCCTCTGGATTTCATTGGCGTTGGTTTGAACCCTTTTTCATGTCTAATTTTGTTGATTTGGGTCTTCTCCCTCTTTTTTAGTTTGGTTAAGGGTTTATTAATTTTATTTTTTCAAAGAGCCAGATTTTAATTTCATTAATCCTTTGTATTGTTTTTTTAGTATCCACTTTACTAATTCCTACCCTAATCTATATTTCTTTCCACCTACTTGTTTTGGAATTGGCTTGTTCTTGTTTTTGTAAGAGAATAAGGTACATCATTAGGTTATTAACTTGTGATTGCTGGGTTTTTTTCTTTTGTTTGTTTGCTTTTTTTTGGTGGGACTGGGGCTTGAACTGGGACTTCGTGCTTGCAAAGCAGGGACTCTATCGCTTCAGCCATACCTCCAGTCTTGTTTCGGTTTTTTTTTAAATAGGTGTTCAAAGCTATAAACTTTCCTCTCAGCATTGCCTTTGCTGTATCTCAAAGGTTCTGGTAGGTTGTGTTTTCATTTTCTTTAGACTACAGGAACCTTCTGATTTCCCCCCCTTATTTCCTCAAGATCCATTGGTCATTCAGCAATGCTTCATGTGTTCGAGTATTTTCTGTAGTTTCTTTTGCTACTGACTACTAGTTTTCTTTCATTGAGGTCTGAAAGAATATAATGGGCCATTTCTATTATCTTAAATTTATTAAGACTTGTCTTATGTCCTAAAATATGATCTATTTTGGAGAAAGATCCATGGGCTACTGTGAAGAATGTATATTGTGTAACTGTTGGATCAAATTTCTAATGGATCTTAAAATCCTTTCTATCTCATGGGAGGCACTAAAAAGTATTAATTATACCTCACCTTGAAGTTGGTGCTTACAGTGGGACAAAAACCTCTGTGTAGACTTCTTATCTCCAAATAAGAATCCTAAAACTACTTAGAACAATGGAAGGAAAGTTAGTATATCATCAGCAGACAACCAAAACTAAAAGATGATGATGGAATATAACGCACATTGCTTTGGCTTGGTAAAGTTCAATGACATAACCTGTTCATTGGTTTTCATATCTATGCTTCTGCTTTCTTGCTTGGTTAAAAAACAAAAGGGAAACTAGCTCGGCTCACGGAACTGAGCCAGTAGGCCCCTAATGAGGAGCTACCCTTCTCTCGTCACCTAATGTTTCCACCATCAGTGACAAGTACACACCTCAGCGCCTCCAGGACTCTGCTTCGTCCACTTCGAGCAGAGCGAGTGCTGTCAGGGGTTGAAGATGCACTGTTACAGCCACTTCTTGAGAGGGAAGGCCTCTGTGCTTGGGGTTTCACTATGGAGGTTGCAGACATGATCTCCTGCAGCTGCTTTTGGAAGTTCTCTCTCATCTCTAAGGTCTGCGTCAGAGCTTGAAACAAATAAATACACCAAACAAGGTAAATCCATCTCTCCCTCAGTTTTGTTTTGTGTTTAACAAAAAGTCTTGCTACGAAGCCCAGGCTGGCCTTGACCTCACAAACCTCCTGCCTCAGTCTCTCAAGTGTATGGGTTACCAACATACATCATCACTATACCTAGTTGTAAATTTCTCTTTTTGATTATATGTTATATTAACTACTTTGTCCACATCTGGGTGAACAAATTCATTGACTTGCCATTTACTGAATACTATAAGAGGCTATATACTAATGTAGGAAAACTATGAATGCCAAAGAATAGAAAGGCAGCCTTACCACGAAGTGCTCTATGAAATAATAAGGAAGCCTTGTGAAGACCTGTAGTGAAAGACCTTTTGCAGAGCCCCCTGTCTGCTTCTGATCTTCTCTCATGGTGCATACTTTACTCTGAGATTCAGTATAGTCATTTGTGTACGTGCCTGCTTTCACAAATGGTTCATGAAAACACAGACCATAACATATTTATCTTTGATCTTTTTTTATAGACACTGAAGTAGGTAGTAAATATTTTTGGAATGAATAGAGTGGAGCTAACTAAGTAGGTAAATCTGCTCTTCCTGAAAGCAGCCTGAAGTAACCTTTGAAAATGTTTCACTACTCTCATGATCCAGAAAACCCCACAAAAATCATGCAAATCAAGAGGTTCAAATCTTCAAATTTACTTTAAGCCCATGTGAGAAACTGCCCAGGCCATCAAGGGTATGCAGACAAAAATTCACTTTAAAGATTACAATATGGGTTATTCTGGTATTACAATACTGGAGTTGGTAGGTATGCCCAGGCTAAATAATGGGGTTTGACAGAGGGTTGGTGGCCTAAAACAAGTGCTAAATTTTTGTGCTATGTGCATAAAAATGCAGAGAGTAATGCTGAACTAAAGGGTATAGATGTAGATTCTCTGGTCAATGAATGTATCCAGGTAAACAAAGCCACCCAAGATGCATCTTGGCACTTCTAGAGCTCAGGGTTGTATTAACCCATCCCTGAGCTCTCCTGCCACACTGAGATGGTCCTCACTGAAAAGGAACACACTGATCCTAAACCTCCAGAAGTGGAGGCTGTACAGAAGAAAAAGATCCCAGAAGAAACAAAAGCTCAGGGCATGGTCAGCCACAAAGAAGAATGAAATTATGCTATGTGCAGGAAAACTGGATGCAACTGGAAAGCATCATGTTAAGTGAAATAAGCCAGACTGAGAAAGACCTCATATGCATATTCTCTCTCGTATATAGAATCTAAACTTAAAAAAAACAGGAGGACAATTTCAGGAGGTAAGCAAGAGGAAGGAGAGAGGCAAAAAGTGAAAGGGAGAAAGTATGATTGAAGTACTTCATACACATGTGAAAACAGAATAATAAAACCCATTAAAATCACTTTCAAAAGGGAGGGAGGATAAATATGAGTAACAGAAGGGGTGAATGTAATCAAAGTACATTATATGCAAGTATGGAAATATTGCAATAAAATCCCTTTGTACAACTAATATATGTTAATAAATTAAAAAAACACTAGGGCAAAGAAATAAACTGACATAAAAGTAGTAAATTCATAGGCAATTCAAAGGGAAAGCTCTAGTAGGGAGGATTGGTAAAGAAAACAGTAGATATTAACCCACTAAAAAAAGAATACCTGTAAGATTATTCAGTACAGCACTACTTATAATAGCAAGAAATTAAAATTACCTGTAAATATCTCAACAAAAGATATCAAAATAAATAAAGCAGTCATTCACTGACTACTACAGTTGCTAATTAAAAAAAAAAAAAAAAAAAAAGAAATAGCTCCCTATGCACAAGCATACCTCATTTTATTATCAGATATCGTGTTTTATGGTTTGGACATGGTTTGAGTATACACCCTAAAGTTTCTGGGTTGCAAGCTTGGTCCTCAGTGTAGTAGTGTTAAGGTGCTAGAACTTGTTGAGGTGGGGCCTAGCAGAAGATGGACAGGACATTAGAAGTACCATCCCTAAAAACAATATAGTTTATGGGGACTCTTGATTATTTCCCTTTACAATGAATTGTTATAAAAAAGAGCCCCCTGAACCTCTCCTGCTTCTGGTCTTAACATGTGACAGTGTGCTAGTCCCTACTCCCTCTCTTTCTCATAAACACTCCCACCATGATGCCAGCTACGGTGATACAATGCCATTAGAACGTCTTCAGCCAAGCCAGTGAGACTGTCTGATCCTAGACTGTCAGACTCCAAAACTGAGCTAAATAAGTATCTCTTTTCTTGGTACATAACTCAGCTTCAGTATTATGTAATAGCAATAGAAAACAAACTAAAACCCTCCCATTTCTTACAAACTGAAGACTTGTGGCAACCCTGCAATGAGTAGGTTTATTGGCACCATTTTTCCAACAGTTTGTGCTCACTTTGTGTGTCCGTGTCACATTTTGGTAATCCTCATGTTTCAAAACCTTTTTCTTGTAATTCTATCTGTTATGGTTATCTGTGACCAAAGGTCTTTGATGTTACTATTGTATTTGTTTTGGGGAGTCACAAACTATACCCGTCTACAATGGTGCACTTAGTAAGTGCTGTATGTGTTCTGACTGCTCAACCACCGCAGAGAACACACAAATGATAAGAAAGCAAAACAGCTTTATCAATGATATGGAGAAGCTTCAGTGGTCTGGATAGAAGATCAAACCAGCCACAGTCTTAAGCCAACCCCAATCCTGTGCAAGGCCCTAACTCTCTTCAATTTTATGAAAGTTTAGAGTAGTGAAGAATCTGAAGAAAAGTCTGAAGCCAGCAGAGGATGGCTCATGAGGTTTAAGTAAAGAAGCTGTGTCCCTAACACAAAAGTGCAGGTGAAGCAGATAATGCTGAAAGAGAAGCTGTGGCAAATTATCCCAAAGACCCAGCTCACTGATGAAGGTGGCCACACTAAGCAAGAGATTTCCAATGCAGATAGAGCAGGTTTGGGCTGAAGAGGACGCCATCTAGGACTTGTGCAGCTAGAGAAGACAGCTTAATGTCAGGCTGGTGGAGTGGCTTGAGTAGTAGAGTATCTGCCAAACCCGGAGTGTAAGTCCCTGAGTTCAACTCCCAGTACTGCCACAAATAAATAAATGAATGAATGAATGAATAAATAAATAAATAAAACAGTAGTACATTTCATAAGGTTATAAATACCAGTCAGTGACTTCTTTCAGGATTTGGGCAAAGTAAATTGAACATTTTCTGTGAAGGATTTACCATTCTAGAAGCCATCAAGAACATATGTAGCTGGGCGTGGTGGTGCACACTTGTAATCTCAGCTACTCAGAGGCAGGAAGATCAAGAGATTGAGGGCACCAACAGCTCACACCTGTAATCCTAGCTACTCAGAAGGTAGAGATTAGGAGGATCGTGGTTTGAAGCCAGCCTGGGCAAACAGTTTGCAAGACCCTATCTTGAAAAAAACCCATTACAAAAAAATAGCTGGTGGAGTGGCTCAAGGTGTAGGCCCTGAGTTCAAGCCACAGTACCGCCAGAAAAAAAAAAAAAAGAGTTTGAGGTCAGCCTGGGCAAAGTTGGCAAGACCCTGTCACAGATAAGAAAAAAAAAGAATAAAAGCACCAGACAGTTCAAGTGGTAGAGAACTTACCTAGCAAGTATGAGGCCCTTGTACCCCAGGACCATTAAAAAAAAATTGTGATTCATGAGAGGTCAAAAATATCAACATTAAGTAGGCGTTTGAGAAAAATGAATTCCAACCCCCAGGGATGAGGTTGAGGGACTCAAGACTTTAGTGAAAAAACTAACTGTAGATGTGTTGGAAACAGCCAGAGAACTAGAAGTGGAGCCTGAAACTGTGTGACTGCTTTGCTGTAATCTCACAGATGAAGCAATGGACAAGTTGCTGCTTCTCCCGGAGATAAAGACCAGTGGCTTTCTTGAGATGGGATGCATTCTGTGAAGATGCTGTGAACACTGTCGAAATGACAATGAAGAATTTAGAGAGCATGACATAAACTTAGTTGGTAAAGTACTGGCAGAGTTGGAGAGCACTAACTCCAATTTTGAAAGAAGTTCTATGTGGGTAAAGAAATCAGACAGCATTGCATGCTACAAAGAAACTTTTGTGAAAGGAAGAGTCCTAGCCTGCCAAACCTCATTGTTGTTTTAAGTTAAGAAGTAGTCAGAGCCAACTCAAGAACCCACCACCACCACACAGAACACTGTTAGCCATCAATGGAGGCAAGACCTCCATCAGCAAAGAGGTTATATCTTACTGAAGGTTCAGATGATAGCTAGCAACTTTTAGCAATAATGTATTTTTAAATTATAGAATCACATTGTTTTTAAAAGACATAATGCTACTGTATGCATAATACATTCAGTATAATGTAAATAAAACTTTTATATGCACTGAGAATCTAAAATATCCATGTGATTCAACTCTATTGTGACATTCACTATATTGTGGTGCCTGAAACCAAGCCCGCAGTATCTCTGAGGTACACCTGTACTGATATGAAACAACCCCTAACTGAACTGTAAACAAAAGACTGAGGCATAAAACAGCATGTATAGTAGTCTGCACTTTCATAGTTTTGAAAAAAAGCAAGAAAAGAGAAAATATATTTCTAAAATGAATACATCAAACTTCTAAAAGGAGACAAAAGAAACAGTGGATATTGGGAACCAAGGGTGGGAGAAACTCTCATACTTCCTCTTCACCTGTAAAACTATACTAAAATAAACTGTAGTACATGCTAAAATAAAACTGTTTGAAAAAATCACTAAAAATAAATGAACCAAAGAAAAAAAGTTTTTTTAAAATTTGTGACAGTACTGGGGATTGAACTTGGGTACTAGCGTTTACTGGGTAAGTGATCTACCACTTGAGTCACATTCCATCTGTCCAAAGAAGAAATTTTTAAAAAAATCACCAACTCCACCTATCTTTAATAGAATAGGGCTGTATCACACTAGCAATGTAAAGTACCAACTTCATACGTTCCCTAAGCTTTACAACTTTACAAATATTATCTAATGATTGGCATGGAATCTAGAATCAATCCTCAAATATATGTTTTGCTAGTATTAGAAAACATGTATTTTTCCATTTGACACAAAGGAAGCATTCTGCATGAAAGATCATTTGTAAAAAAAATTTTCGTGATTCAAAATCCTTTACCTCCTTTAGTGTCACTCCTTCCGCTTCCATTGGACAGTGCCAACTCTTTATTATCGGTGGCCAAATTGTCTATATCATTCTCTTCTACAGGCAAATGATCTGGCTATTCAAAGAGAGAAATTACAATTTCTCAAACGAGGCCATTATATAAAGTTTCACAGCAACCTATGATTATAAATTTGGCTTAGGAGGAGTATAAAGCGTCCACATGGCCTACCTTATCAGAAACAGAGGAGAGAACCCGACTGTTACAGAGGTGCCCATCTTGCACCGCACTGATGTCCAGGCTCATTTTGGGATTGTAAGTGTGTGGATAAAGAGATTCAGGAAGATGCTTATACTCTTGGGCACACTGAAATACAAAGGTATGTTTTAAAAAGTAGTTTACAGTGAAAATTTCTATCATATAAGAAATTTTTTTTTCATTTTTCTTTTATTATTCATATGTGCATATAAGGCTTGGTTCATTTCTCCCCCCTGCCCCCACCCCCTCCCTTACCACCCACTCCGCCCCCTCCCTCTCCCCCCCAATACCCAGCAGAAACTATTTTGCCCTTATTTCTAATTTTGTTGTACAGATATAATCTGACCTCACTTTTTAATGTAATGTTTACTAAAGTACAAAATCTGCCAAAATATCAATTATACTCTAGGGAATGCCAACGAAAACAAACAAACAAAAAAAAAACATGGTTCGAAAGTATTGGTATGTTAACTGTCCTCAAATTATTATGAAATTTTTATTTTATTCACTCATATAGTTGTTAATGAGTAAAAGGAATCAGAATAAAAAAATAGTACATGTTCAAGTCTTCAGGGTTTTTTTTTTTTGGTGGCAGCGGAGAGCAGGACAGTTTAGGGGCTTAAACTCAAGGCTTTGTGCCTGCTAGGCAGATTACCACTTGAGTCATGGCCCCATCCTTTTTTTTGGCTTTAGTTCTTTTTCAGGTAGGACCTCATGCTTTTGCCCAGGCCAGCCTCAGACCATGATCCTGCTACCTGTATCTCTTGTGAAGCTGGACTACAGACATGTGCCCTACATGTGTCATCATGCCAAGCTTGTTTGTTGAGATGGAATCTTGCTGACTTTCTGCCCAGTTTGGCTCTGAACCACAGAGTCCATCTCCCTAGTGGCTGGGAATTACTGGTGTAAGCCAGTGCACCCAGTTAGATCTTAAGTTTTCAATGCCAAAGAGATGAAATGTACATAGTACTGTGGTGTGGATCTTGACTGTCCCCCAAAGGCCCAATGTGGTAGAGGCATGGTCCCCAGTTTGCCCAGGGGGAGGTCTTTGGGGGTGTGCCCTCAAAGGGAACAGTGGGACCCCAATCCCTTCCTCTTTTTCGTTCTCTTCCTGGACATGTGAGCAGTTCTGCTCTCCTACACACTCTTGCCATGGTGCGCCACCATACACAGTTAACCAAGATTATCAAGCTTATTTGCATTCACTGACACTGGTTTGTGTTCTGAAATGTTTGTATGTACTTTCAATTAATAGAGAAGGAAGGAGAAAAAGCACTGCTTACTTCTAAAAGCCAGTGCTCTGAAACAATGTGTATGCCTCTTTCTTTTACAGATCTATACTCTCGATTAGTGTCATTTGGCCGCCCTTGATAGATGAAATGAGTCACTGTCTCATCAAAACTCCACCTGAAACAACCAAATACAACAAAATGAATCACTGAAAGAAATAGCCATGCTGGTTGAAGACAATTACTACTCACAACGAACAAAATGTTCTGACCTGCACAAAACTGTCACAAGAAGAGTAAGAACATTAACATGACAGGCTCTACTCGTTGACAAATCTCATGCGTATATCCCTAGGTATGTAATGAGAAGAGATGCTACAAAAGAAATTTTTTAAAATTACACTCTCTTCTTCATACTCTTCTGAACTGTTTTCACTTTTCTCTTTTACAAAGTATATCACTTGAGTTTTGCAAAGCACCAAATCCTGTTGTTGGCAGTCACTACTCTCTATGCATGTGCTCTGCTCTACAATAAGCTGAGAGCCTTACCTATTATCTCATTCATTCTTCACAAAAATCCTTAAACACTGGACTGTTAAATCCATTGTACAGAAAAGAAAACTGAGGGTCACTGTTAAGTAACTGTTCATGGATATACAGTATTACTTCAAAACTCATTTTTTTTGGGGGGGGTGGGAGCAGTACTGGGGTTTGAACAAAGGACCTCACACTTGTTAGGCTCTTTTACCACCTTTAGTTGTTTTTCAGATAGTCTTGGGTTTTTGCCCTGGGCTAGCTTTTGACCGAAATCCTCCTACTTATGCCTCCAGCACAGCTGGGATTACATTTATGTATTACCATGCTCAATTCATTTGCTGAGATAGGATCTCACCAACTTTTTTTCTGGGTTAGTCTTGAACTACAATCTTCCAAATTTCTGCCTCCCAAATAGCTAGAATTATGACCATAAGTCAGTGCACTGGGCTCAAAACTCATGGTTTTAACTTTTGAGATAGGATCACGCTATATAACCCAGACTGACCTCCCTCAGCCTCTGGCTTAACTCTTACGTCATGGTAAAACCCCTCAATTCCATCCCTTCAATATTCTCCTCCCTAAGAAAATAATCTAAATAATATAAAACACAGCCAAAGATGGTGGTGCACATCTGTAATTCTAGCACCCTGGAGGCTGAGACAAGAAGATCAAAAATTCAGGAACTTCCTGGAGTACACAGCATGTCTCGATAAACAATACAAACAAAAAGGTAAACCATGTCATCTTTCAAGAGCTTAATTCCCTTAAATATATTTCCTACTGCCCTATGCAGCCTTAGGAATAACATTAAAGATACACCTTGCCTCATTGCATTGTGTGTGTTTCAAATAACTGTCTCTAATTCTACTGTTGAGGTAAATTATTAAGATAATCTAGAAAAAAAGAATTATGCTGCTTTAACCAACTAGGTTTAACCATTCAATTCCATTATGAAAATACAGAAACTATGTGTTTTACTCCTGAGAGAGCTTGCAAGAATGAATAGCTAGTGGTTGTAGATAATCTGGATCATGGTCTTAGATCAGCAGGACATTATCTTTTTTTGGGGGGGTGGGGGTCTTCTGGGGTTTGAACTCAGGACCTCACACTTGCTGGGCAGGTGCTCTACTGCTTGAGTCACTCCATCAGCCATTTTTTGTGTTGGGTGTTTTTCAAGACAGGTCTCAAGAACAATTCTGCCTGGCCTGGCTTTGACCATGATCCTCCTGATCTCTGCCCCCAAGCAGTCCTGGGGAAGAGTAACATATACAATTTTCCCATATTCTGCATGATATGCTAACATTCTAACAAAATCACAGAGGTTTAAAGAATAAAGATTGTTTATAATTAGATGACATTGAGTCTGTTTTATATGGAAGCAGAAGCTATTTTCTACAGCTTTAATATACACTAACAACTGTAACACAATGGGAATGCAGCAGTTGTGTGAAGAGCTGGCAGTCTTAGCTCTCTGATGGTAGGAGACAGAACCAGAACATCTCTTCAGGATGATGTGGTACTAGATCAAAGAAGGGAACACATGGGACACCTCTACTTGAGAAGAGATTACCCAATGAACATGTAAATACTGTACCCTCTGCATTCTTCCCTTTTGCCAATTATAAAGTTTGAGAAATCCATTTCAGGAAGAGATTTAATGCAAACTTTAACGCAACTGAACAGTTAAATTCTGTTTCAGAATTTCAGCAAGGAATTCTGGTTTTTATACTAAGGACTGATATTTTAAATCTTATAAAAATGTAAGCCTACACTGTCCTTTTTAGTTTTTCATCAAGTCCATTTCCAAAGAATGCCCAAAGAAACATTTAACTTTAACAAATGCATATATACCCCCCCAATGGGGTTTTAATGAGAAAGGAAGGAAATAATGCTCAGCCACTGGCAATAAAATGTTAACAGGTAACTAATACAGTAACAGGTATTACATAGTAATATACAGTGGGTAATACAAATAAGAAAGCTTTACTAGTCCATAGTAAGATTATTTCACACTAAGTTGCTTGTAACTATTACAGATAAATTTTGCTTTTATATCCTCCTGACCTAATCAAATAGAAAACTAGTTAAGGTTACCAAAAGGGGAGATAAAACTAGTTATATTCCTCAAACTGTCTGTCACTTGTAAAATATGCTACATGCTTATCTATGGATGGTTGACCATAGTGATTCACAAAGCTAGCAGTGTGGACATCAGAGGATTGGTTATCTTAGGACTGGTTGGAACAGGCCAGAGTCTCTCAATATCTAACACTGATGCTATTTGCACTAGAGGCCTGTCTCTAGGCTGACAGAAGATCTGATGACATGTCTCTGTCTCTCTGTCTTACTGTTTCTTTCTCTGAGTCTCTACCACTGAGCTTCAGCCTGAGCCTGTGACCCTGTCTCTTAAGAAAGAAAAAAAAGATAAATTAAAAATTAGAGCATATTTTTAAAAGACCATCTTAATCCAGGAGAGCTGCTAGAGTGGTTATTACTACTAACAAAAGGACTGCAATCTGAAAATCACCAAGGTATAAAGTAACTTAATCAGTCCCACATGTATTGCTAGACTATAAGCTCCTTGAAGATAGGAATTCTTTTAAACTGTGATCATTCATGGATCCCAAGTTTATGGAAAAATGAGTTGCACAAAAGTGGTTCTCAAACATTTATTGCATGTTTAAAAAATACACATATAGAAGTGTATTGAGTATGGTAAATCAAAAATCAATTGAGAGACTTACAGATAATATTAGGTACTAAAAGGTAAGATAATTGTTTTCTTATAAATGCTCACAATAACTTCAGTTTTCCTTATAATTCTGGCCATTTCATCCCCACACAGAAAAATGTGCAATTACCTGTAATCTGCTCCAAGAGAGGCTGCAATCCCATTCAGTTCACTCTGCTTCTTACTGAGCTTTTTACTGACACATACCACGACTTTGTGAAGTGGCTTTGGAGCCTCTTCCTGTAAATGGAAAATAAAACAAACAAAGCAGTCATTATTGTCTGCAACATTTTAGCTCAAACTTCCACTTAATAAGAGAACTAAGACTACCTTCTCTGACAGGGCATTCTTCAGTTGAGGGCTGGCAGAAAGAGTGACAGCATTCCGAGAGCTGTTTGCCAAAGCAAGTTTCAAGTTTCTGACAATGACTTCTGAGAGTGGTGTACTAAGTTTCCTTCTCTGTTGGCTGGCACCTCTTGGGGTTTCCAAGGCTGCGAGTGCCTCCTATGTATATGGAGGAGAAGAAGTCAGGAAGGGAGAGGGAGAAAAGAGAAAAGGAAAGAAAAATGATGGAGAGGAAAATAGGGAGGGAAAGAGAAAGAGGAGGAGGGGAGGGTTAAAAAGAGAGAAGCCCCATAAAATTAATGGATAACAGTAGTTCTCCCCCAAGCAATAAAAAGAATGAACTGTAATTTATATCTGTAGTCTATGAAAAAAAAAATTCCCATATTGTCAAGCAAAGTGCTTCAAAAAGACTAAGAGACACTTTTAGCAGTGCATGCCACATTTACCTGAATCCTAAAACTGACTTTGGGAGTTAAAATATAGGACACCAAAGCCAAACAAATGTGGAAGGAAACAAGGAAGCAAGATTGATATAAGCAAGACATGAGTGATGGGCTGGTGGAGTGGCTCAAGGGGTAGAGCTCCTGACCAGTAAGTTTGATGCCCTCAGTTCAACCCCCAGTTCCACTGAAAAGATAAAGGACATAAATGATAAGTTAAAAAGTCAGAATGAGATAAGAATTGTGAAAAATCTTCAAAAGCATAAAATACAACCCTGATTCCAAGCCACCCACAGTTCCCTAAGAGGAAACTGTTGTCCAAATGGCTTGCTTGTTCCTTTTTGCATCTGCTTAATATTTCTATTTACATTAATGATTTTTGTTAGTATAATGATGTAACAAACAACCTTACACACCATTTTGCAAAATCATGAGTAAAGGGAATCTTAAGAAAAGCATCTATGGGAAAAATTAATCAAGTACCTGCAACATTCAACATAAAGAGCATGAAATCAGATCAAGTTTTTGGTGAGTGGTATTAATGTGTACAATAGTTAATTTTTGTGACAGTAATGTAATCTATCCTATGTGGTTTCAAGTTATGGACACTCAGACCTACTACGCTTATAGTACAGGTAAATTTGAGTGATTTTAGAGTACTGAACTCTATGCATCCTGAGAATTTGTGGCTTTTTCTCAGCAATGGTTTCCTTGGAACGACATCCCCATGGACACCAAGGGTCTACTGTATTTTCTTGCCTGATGCTATTACTTCACTCACTTGAGAGTTCAGCAATCATTTGGATTTACTCCATGACTTCAGAGACAGGAATAACGAACCCCAGAAAGGCAGCAAGAAGGGCTAGCATTGTGGCTCAGATGGTAGAGCGCCTGCCTAGCAAGTGTGAAGTCCTGACTGCAAACCCCAGGGCCACCAAAAAAAGAGGCAGCAACAGGTAAGTAAAAAGTCTCAATCCTAGATCTCACAGCTGCCAAGACAGAGATTTTCTTCCATCTCTTAAAGCAGAGTGTTAATTACAGGATAAAATGTTACTTCAGAAGACAATTCATGTGAAAGCTCAGGACTTTTGAGCTTGTTGTATTAAGGACATTTTTTTCCACACAGATCACTAGAATTGATCAAAAATAAAGCAATAGCTGCGGACATGCCTAACAAGGATGAAGCCCTGAGTTCAAAATCCAATACCATAAAAAAAAAAAAAAAGATACAAATTGTGCAAAAACTGTCCTGGGTGTCAGTTAATATTTATTTTCTACTGGGGATAAAATTCAGTGGGGAGCATTGCCTAGCATGTTCAAGGTTCCAGTCTGATCCTCAGCACCTCAAACAAACAAAAAGTCTTGAAAATGAACAATCTATAAACTTTATAGTAAGTCTGTTCCAAAACATACTAGCATGAATTACTGAAATGCTGCATCTTAATACCCTATGAGCAAACATCAACAAATGAGTATAATAATTTCACAAAGGTTCAAGGATAAAGAAATCATAGGCAATGGCTTGAACAGCCACTTGGAAGGCCAAAAGCTACGAAAGGAAACTGCCCTTGATTTGAAAATGAATTCTCAAAAAGGGAGACAGACCACACCCCTCAGATTAAACCCAGGAACAGACTGAACTCATCTCCCCTAAGAGAGATGACAGAAAAGGAAAGTGATAATCAGACATTTTCAAAAAGCAAGCCCTGGGTACTCTTGTATAATTAATATGTAAGTAGCAACTTAAATACTGTTTTTATTATTTTTCAACTTATACAATCATTTCATCATACTGTTTCATTTGATCCTTACACCTACGAATTCTCAGAACAAGTGTTATTTTTTTCTTTACGTGAAAGGAGAAAGTGATGCTCAGATAGGTTAAATGATCTGCCTCGAATCACACAGTTCATGACATACCTAGGACTTCTACACTGCCTACCTCAACCCTGGGTATACACTGGGACTCGATACTGTGAATCTACTTGCCAACATCTCTGGAAATCTACTACTATGAACCTGAGAGGTGATGCAGAATTTGGAGCTTTAACTTTTTCTTTGACTTTACCTTCACATCAAAGGAAGGCTTGAAGAGTTTGTCTTTGGACAGAAATTTTGATGGTGTGTCCAGGTGTAGTGAGGGCTCCTTCTGAAGTGGATGTCCCACGGGAGGACAGGCTGAAGCCTGTGCAGTGTGCTGTGAGATCACAGCATGAAAAGCTTTGCTCTGAAAACGGTTCATGTCCAAAGGCGAAACAGCTGTTTTCCTGTGAGTTTCCATGTACGTCCCAGGGTGTGCTGGAGAACCTGGATTTAGATCTACTTCACTTATTTTAGTTTCCAATCTTTGTTCTAGACATTTCAAATGAAAAGAAGCAAGTATGAGCCAATATTATCCACCCTTTTTTCAAAAAGTGATGTTTTTTAATAACGTTTTTTTTTCTTGGCAGTACTGGGGTTTGAACTCAGTGCCGTGTGCTTGCTAGACAGGTGCTCTACCACTTGAGCCGCTGTGCCAACCTGATTTGCCAACCTGTTTTTATATCTTAATGTTAGCTTCTATGGTAAGTCTCAGGTACACTTTAAACATAAAGCTACATTCCTACATAAATATATGTTGGAGTGGACGAGCATATTAACTGAATAGTTATTTCAGTTACACATTAAAACAGTCTCAAGAACCCATGTGCCAAAATTATATTAATGTCAACCTAGTCATGGCAGAACAAAAAGAAAATGCCAATTACACGTACTCAGAAGGTTACAGAAAATCTTAATGAAATTTCAGTATCACCTGAATTCACTTTTGCCTTAGTCCTGAATTTCTAGTGTGTCTGGGTACATCAATCTTAGCTCTGTGGTGCTCCCAAACTGCTGATCTGCCCTCAAGCTATCATCTAATCACTTAGAGGCTGCTTGTGTCCTCCCACCCCTGCCTTCTACTTTTTATCAACATTAAACAAAAACGTTTTAGATGGCTACTCCATGCCAGCCAGGCCCACTGCTGGACACTGGAAGCAAATTCACAAGATACACATGGTCCCTCGTTATGGAGCTTATTGGTTAGCACAGATACAAAAGCAAAACAGATTTTCAACTGGGATCAGAACCATAAAAGGGCAAGATAAAATGTTATGGTAAGACAAAGCCTTCCTTGATGAATCAAGGTAGGCTTACCAGGGTAAAAAGGAAAAGCAGGCAAGTAAGTGTGAGGTGGTCCTGAGGAATCAAGCAAGAACCAGACAGGAGGGGCAGATCGAGCACATGAACCATGTGGTATGTTAGTGAGAGCAAAGGCATCAAGGGCAAGAGGGTTACAAGCTCACCTTCAGACTTCAGCAGTCACTCCTTCCAAAGTGAAAAGCAAAGCCAAATGACATTTCCTAAAAACAAACTGGCGCATTTATCTCCCAGAAATATAGAGACTAAAATAAGAGTTATTAGTACCTTCTTCAGGTAACCCTTCAATCAGAAAAAGCTTTTCATCTGCTCTCTTTCCAATTCTAGCAGTTTCCAACAGCCAGGCTATAGTGACCGCGGGCAAATTCCACTTCTTTGAAGCTTCATATTTAGAACCAACTGGTTCTTTCAATATGAGATGTGTACTGGCAAGCATGCCTTTCTTCACATTGGATTTACGAACAAAGAATTCTTGAACACTAAAATGTATGTAAACAAAAGCAAATGGTCATATATACAATTAGCCAGCAAATTAAGAACAAAGTTTCTAAATACAACACTGTGGTCAGAATTAATGTAAGTTTAAGAAAATTCACACTGAATAAAAGTTGGTATATTTATCTTAAATTAAGCTGATCCCTTTACAAGTGCTTATTCTAGGATAAAGATATACTGTTATAAAAAATAAGCTTTCTATAAAAACAAAGGTAAATTAGACTTTTAAAGAGCAGAAAAATTACCTCCTTAATTAGTACTACCAACATCCCAAAAGACATGATAGGAGCAAAATGTATAAACATTATGTCTTTTACCCCTTTTAACTTCCCAAAGCATTTTTACATATAATCTCAATTGGTTCTTTCAATATTTGTGAAGTATCAATATTTTACAGACATAGGAAAAATGAAGAGAAATTGAGTGACTTACTCAAAATCAGAAGACATCAAACAGAACACATGGGGCAGAAACAGAAGTCTAACACTTGAGATATAAAACAGAACTCAATCTTTTTTGACTTATAGGTCTTATGTTCCTGGCTTTTAAGATATTTTATAACTCCCAAGTTTCTCCTAGTACTTTCATAGGTTCATTTTTTACATTTAATTCTCTGATCCATTTGGTAGCTATTTGATATGAAATATGGCACTAACTTCCTTGAAGCCTATTTACTGAATAATGCATCTTCCTGAGTAATTTGAAATGTCCCTTTCATCACAAATAAAATTGCTATTTATATTGGATCTACTGATAGGACTTGTTCATTTATTGAAATTTATGCTACTTACAACCACATTGCTATTTAGTAAGGTTTTGTAAAACAGTTGAAGATACTGGAGAATTTATGGAGTGTTTATTCTGAAGGGTTAGAAGTCTGTATTTTGCTGAGGCATTACTGTGGTATAGTTTAATGTGGTACTCTCCAATTTGTACTTCCTAGAAATCAATGGTCAGGTTTGATTATTCTGGCAAGACTACTTTAAGGTGGAGTGTATCCTTCATGAGGAAGTACATATTACCTGGTTGTCTCTTTACTATGTGATTAACTACTGATGCTCAATGCCCGCAATTTTTATAATCTTACCATTTTTTCTTTTTCCTGGGTGGTACTTGGGTTTGAACTCAAGCAGGCACTCTACCACTTAAGCCACACTAGCCCTTTTGCTGTGTTAGGTATCTTTGAGAATAGGGTCTTGTGAACTATTTGCCCGGGATTGGCTTTGAACCACAACCCTCCTGATCTCTGCCTCTTGAGTAGCTGAGGATTATAAGTGTGAGCCACTGGTGCTTGGCCTCATTCCTTCTTTATTAAAAGGTAAACTTTGCTTTAGTCTCTCACACTACCATAGAATAGATTGTATAGGAAGGCAGGATAAATAGTTGATCTTTTCCCCTTGCCAGCTTTCAAAGCAAAGGGTTGGTTCCCCAGCAATGCCTCTTCTCTCCCTTCCTCCCTCCTTCCACCATACCTGACTTCCTATATCTTTCAAAAGCAACCAATTACCTTGGTCATGATTTAAGCATTAATGAGTATGTCTGTATCCACTGCAGCTACTAACTTTAATGATACTTACATATTCCTGTCTGGCTAGTACAGGTACTTTGACACCACCTTCCCTAAACAATCTTTGATAATGTCCTTTATATCTGGCCTGAAAAAAAACATTCCAGGTCTCTCCCTTTGTGAAAAACAGTATTTTAAGATTACAGCCTGGGCACAGGGATTGCTTGCTACCATTGGGTTGGTACATATTTCTATTTTACAAATTGTTTTGATGTCTTCATTGAACCAACATTTATTGAAAACAGTTTTTAGGTTTCCAATTGACATGGGCCTCAAAAACTTTGAGTTTTTTTCCAGACTGGCCTAGAGCTCAAAGCAACTTTCAAATTCATTTTATTTCAAAGTAGTCACTGCTCTTGCTTACCATTTTCATTTCTTAGTGAAAACCAGAGAAAAAATGCATTTACACTGAAAAAACAGAATAATTATCACCTACAAGGCTCATGGAAGGGTATAATGCTTAAACAAGCACAATTCAGTAACAGTCCACATTATCAGTATTAAGTAATTTACCTCTCCTGGTGACTAAGCCAGTGCAGCATTAATGCTGTAGTCTTAAAACTTTGGCAGACATACATCTATGAACATCTTCCCCTCTGCCACCCTGAGCTATCACAAAGATGTAGCACCCACACACACAAATACAATTATCTCATTAGAAAACTTTCTAGTAAGTCACAACAAAAACAAAAACCAAAAAACCATACACCATGACAGCAGGCACATTAAAAATATTACATACCAGGCTCCAAGATGATTTGCTAAGAATATCAAAGAATCTTTTTCTGCTCCAACACACTGGCTGAATGAAATAACACAATCCTCTAAAGGAGTCGTTCCTGGCATTACTGGGACTGGTGTAAAGAGAGGATTTGACTTTGGATCAATTAAAGTCTGATAGTCTATACAAGTAACCTTTTAAAAACAAGAGAAACAACAAGGCAAATCTGAAGTAAGAAACCGGTAGTTAACACTGGTTTAAGATACAGAAGCAGCAATTTTAGTATCAATGAAGATGTTTCACTTTAATAAAACTTGTTTGTGTTCATCAACAATACAGTTCAAATGATGTCTAAAAGAATAAACATACATCACTTCCTTACATTTGACAATGAAATCAAAAGGACTTATTCTTGGAACAGCTGAAAGTTGCTTTAAATCTCCTTTCTTCCAATGTTTTTTTCCTTCTTTCTTGGGGGGGGCAGGGGGGGACAGGACTGGGGCTTGAAGTCAGGGCTATGCATTCTAGCAGTTGGGCCACACCCTGTCTTTTTTGCTTTAGTTATTTTTCAGATAGGGTCTCACGCTTTTGCTGGGGTCAGCCTCAGATATGCCTCCCATATGGTTGGGATTACATGTGCCAGCCCTTTTCTCTTAATTCTTCATAAGTTAAAAAAAAGTACATGTCACACTTTGGCTTTGAAGGAAGATAAAAATAGTAGGAGTTGAGATGACCTAGAGTGATCTCCTAAGAAGGAATGTTGCTGCTATCGCCGTGGGACAGTAATTTCTATTATGCCAGGATTAGGGCCAAAAAGCTTATATATTTTCATATTTTAAAATTTCTCTTCCTAGGCAGTGGCGTAACTCAAATGGTAAAGCACTTGCCAAGCAAGTGCAAAGCCCTATGTTTAATTCCAAATACCACCAAATAAATTCCTTTAAAATTTCAAATTAAAAGATGAAATAAATAAATTTCCCTCCCTTTCAGCAGTCTAACCAGTGCTCAAACCCAAATTCCATTTGGACAAACTGAATTGCCTAAGAAATAAACATCAACACTTGCATTCAAGTATCCTTTAATACTGTGTTTCAATGACTAGTGCTCACTTACCAGCCAAGTATTTGTAACCACTTCCCCCACGGTTGCTTCCACTTCACACCCCAGAAGGGGAACCACAGCATAATCAGCAACAATTCTGCTCTGAAGAAGAACAATCTTTCCAGCATGTTCTCTTATGATATTTGCAATACTGCATTCATTTTCACTATTAAAACCCAAAACAAGGAAACTCTTTTGGCTAAATAAACCTTCTTCAGTAACTGTAGTATCATCAGGAAGGCAATGGCTGACAGAAGACTGGTTTTCTTGCAGAGAAATGTGAGTAGAATCATTGATGGGCTCGATGCCTGTAGAACCATTACAGGGCCCACCTCCAGCCTCTTCAGCTTCAGCCTTGTTAGCTTCAACTGGAAGAGAAGAAGAAATGTTTCTTAATAGACAATTTACTTTAGAGCCTTGTAGTGTTTACTTTTTAGCAAGGACGTTAACGTAATAAGGAGACTGATAATTCTGACACTTGCAAGAGTTAAGGATCAGATGTACACCAGGAAGGCAGGTGGTATATCCCATCTTCAGGCTCCCTGAGCATGTTACCAATGAGGAAGGACAACAGCAATTGTGTTATCTCTAAGTCCCTGCTGTACTGGAAACCTGGACTAGCTGAAAATGATGATGCCTCATCAGACTTGTTTTAGGTCCAAAACTAGTGTAGATAATTCATAATAGAACTGAGAAAATATTAAGGAAAAACAGAACAAACAGGTCTAAGTGGTATAACAAACTGTTAACACAATATAAATAACTATAAGTGGAATGAAGTTGTAGTTGTTTCTACACATTCCTAAAATGTTTCCTACTGAAGTTGGAGCTACTAAGTTTCTAAATAGATTTCTTGAAAGTAATTGATCAAGGACTCAAGCAAATTATCTCAACCATTTCATTTTAAGATGAAGTTGGCTACAGATGAGTAAAGGAAAAATATACACCTACACAAAAATATAAATGTCACCAGCTAAAATATACAATCCCTAGTCTGCATCAAGCATCGTCAAATTAAGGCTAAATGTGTAAAGAGTAACTCAGTATGTTTCTGATGCGGTGTTAGAACGCAACATTTTACCACTGGGGTTGGCAAACTACAGCCGGACCCAAATTGGGTCCACAAGCTGTTTTGTAAAGGAAAACAAGAATAGTTTTTATATTTTTGTTTTGTTTTGTTTGTTGAGATAGGGTCTTACAATGTTTTCTAGGCTGGCCTTGTATTTGTGAACCTCCTGTCTCCGTCTCCCAAGCACTGGAATTACAGCCATGTACCACCATACCTAGTGGAAAGACAGTTCTTTAGCAGTTTGTAAAAATGCAAACACTAAGCCAGGTGTGGTAGTGCACGCCTGTAATTCCAGCACTTGGGAGGCTGAGGCAGAAGGACTATGAATTCAAGGTCAGCCTAGGCTACATGGGTAAAACCTTATCTTAGAAAACAACAATGCAAATAATTTGCTTTAAATGTAAAATCCATGTCTTTTTTTTGCAGTTACAATTATTTTGTAAGCACATCTAGGAAAAAAAGTTAGCTTTGCTACCGATGTATTGCTGGTAAGCTAGAAAGAAGGAAGAAACAGTGAAAAGTGAGCCTAATATTACAAAAACTATAAATACTAAGTTCCTATAAGCTCTAAAGAAGACTCTGAAGGGCTTAAGAGACTCAGAATAACCTAATGCTCTACAGCAGTTCTTCCAACTTACTTAGCAGTAATCCCTCTTCAAATACACCTCACCCAGAAGCCCAAAAGACAGTTGATAAACCTAGTATTGAAATAGCTCTTAAGTAAAAGGCAATTATGCTTTAAGAATTAATTATAAAACACTTGGGATCCACTGAAATTTGCTGTCACTTAACCAACACAAAGTAGTAAACTACTAGCTGCCTTGGAAAGAAAGGTTCAAGAAAATCACCTGCCCTCCACCAAAGACCCTTGCTGCAGAGTTAATTTGGTTCATTTATGGTGGCTTTACACCAAACATCCTGAACAATGAAGTGTATTCCTGATGTGATGCATTGCCGCAGCAGTAAGAGAATGGTTTAACAAAAGTGAATTTACAGCGAAATGCAGAAACAATGTGGCTAAAAAGGAATGCTTGAAAATCCCTTTCTAAGGGAAGGAAAACTGCCAAACACATTTTATGAAGCCAGTATTACACTTATCCCAAAACCAGGCAAAGACACCTCCAAAAAGGAGAACTATAGGCCAATCTCCTTAATGAACACTGATGCAAAAATCCCCAAAAAAATAATGGCAAACCAAATTCAACAACACACCAAAAAGATTATTCACCACGACCAAGTAGGCTTCATCCCAGGGATGCAGGGGTGGTTCAACATACGAAAATCAATAAACGTAATAAACCACATTAACAGAAGCAAAGATAAAAACCACTTGATCATCTCAATAGATGCAGAAAAAGCCTTTGATAAGATCCAACACCATTTCATGATAAAAGCTCTAAGAGAACTAGGAATAGAAGGAAAGTACCTCAACATTATAAAAGCTATATATGACAAACCTACAGCCAGCATTATACTTGACGGAGAAAAACTGAAACCATTCCCTCTAAAATCAGGAACTAGACAAGGATGCCCACTATCTCCACTCCTATTCAACATAGTACTGGAATTCCTAGCCAGAGCAATTAGGCAAGAAGAAGGAATAAAAGGAATACAAATAGGTAAAGAAACTGTCAAAATATCCCTATTTGCAGATGACATGATCCTATACCTTAAACACCCAAAACACTCTACTCAGAAGCTTCTAGACATCATCAATAGCTATAGCAAGGTAGCAGGATATAAAATCAACATAGAAAAATCATTAGCATTTCTATACACTAACAATGAGCAAACTGAAAAAGAATGTATGAAAACAATTCCATTTACAATAGCCTCAAACAAAATCAAATACCTAGGTGTAAACCTAACAAAAGATGTGAAAGACCTCTACAAGGAAAACTATACACTTCTGAAGAAAGAGATTGAGGAAGACTATAGAAAGTGGAGAGATCTCCCATGCTCATGGATTGGTAGAATCAACATAGTAAAAATGTCTATACTCCCAAAACTCATCTACATGTTTAATGCAATTCCCATCAAAATTCCAATGACATTCATTAAAGAGATCGAAAAATCTACCGTTAAATTTATATGGAAACAGGAAGCCACGAATAGCCAAGGCAATACTCAGTCAAAAGAACAATGCTGGAGGTATCACAATACCTGACTTCAAACTATATTACAAAGCAGTAGCAATAAAAACAGCATGGTACTGGCACAAAAACAGACATGAAGACCAGTGGAACAGAATAGAGAACCCAGATATGAAGCCACACAACTATAAACAACTTGTCTTTGACAAAGGCGTTAAAAATATACGATGGAGAAATAGCAGCCTCTTCAACAAAAACTGCTGGGAAAACTGGTTAGCAGTCTGCAAAAAACTGAAACTAGATCCATGTATATCACCCTATACCAAGATTACTCAAAATGGATCAAGGATCTTAATATCAGACCACAAACTCTAAAGTTGATACAGGAAAGAGTAGGAAATACTCTAGAATTAGTAGGTATAGGTAAGAACTTTCTCAACGAAACCCCAGCAGCACAGCAACTAAGAGATAGCATAGATAAATGGGACCTCATAAAACTAAAAAGCTTCTGTTCATCAAAAGAAATGGCCTTTAAACTGAAGAGAACACCGACAGAGTGGGAGAAAATATTTGCCAGCTACACATCAGACAAAGGACTGATAACCAGAATATACAGGGAACTTAAAAATCTAAATTCTCCCAAAACTAATGAACCAATAAAGAAATGGGCAAGTGAACTAAACAGAACTTTCTCAAAAGAAGAAATTCAAATGGCCAAAAAAACATGAAAAAATGCTCACCATCTCTAGCAATAAAGGAAATGCAAATTAAAACCACCCTAAGATTCCACCTCACCCCTGTTAGAATACCCATCATCAGTAACACCAACAACAACAGGTGTTGGCGAGGATGGAAAAAGGAACCCTCTTACACTGCTGGTGGGAATGTAAACTAGTACAACCACTCTGGAAAAAAAATTTGGAGGCTACTTAAAAAGCTAGACATTGATCTACCATTTGATCCAGCAATACCACTCTTGGGGATATACCCAAAATACTGTGACACAGGTTCCTCCAGAGGCACCTGCACACCCATGTTTATTGCGGCACTATTCACAATAGCCAAGTTATGGAAACAGCCAAGATGCCCCAGCACTGACGAATGGATTAAGAAAATGTGGTAGCTATACACAACAGAATTGTATGCAGCCATGAAGAAGAACGAAATGTTATCATTCGCTGGTAAATGGATGGAATTGGAGAACATCATTCTGAGTGAGGTTAGCCTGGCCCAAAAGAACAAAAATTGTATGTTCTCCCTCATATGTGGACATTAGATCAAGGGCAAACATAACAATGGGATTGGACTTTGAGCACATGATAAAAGCGAGAGCACACAAGGGAAGGGTGAGGATAGGTAAGACACCTAAAATACTATCTAGTGTTTGTTGCCCTTAATGCAGAGAAACTAAAGCAGATACCTTAAAAGCAACTGAGGCCAATAGGAAAAGGGGACCAGGAACTAGAGAAAAGGTGAGATCAAAAAGAATTAACCTACAACAGGAAATCAATGTGAGTCAATGCCCTGTATAGCTACCCTTATCTCAACCAGCAAAAACCCTTGTTCCTTCCTATTATAGCTTATACTCTCTGTTCAACAAAATTAGAAATAAGGGCAAAATAGTTTCTGCTGGGTATTGAGGGGGTGGGGGGAGAGGGTGGAGGCAGGGGGGAGAAATGACCCAAGCCTGTATGCACATATGAATAATAAAAGAAAAAAAAAAAAAAAAATCCCTTTCTAGAAGTACAGTAGGCTAGTCATTTGAAACCCTCTCACTACAAAACACTTTAAACTATAGCATAAACTATTAAAAACGCATCCCTATAGACAAAATTAAAAGAAAATTTAAAGGAAATCTTCAAAGGCTAAAAAACAAGTAGCAGCACCAATTCAGAGCATTAAATGGCTTTTTTTTTTTTTTCCCCAACACTAGGGCTTGAACTCATCAGGGCCTTCACCTCAAGGCACTCCACCGTTCCTATTTTTGTGAAGGATTTTTGAGATAGGGTCTTGCGAACTATTTGCCCATGCTGGCTTCGAACTGTGATCCTCCTGATCTCTGCCTCCCGAGTAGTAGCTGGGTTACAGGCGTGAGCCTCCGGTGCCGGGGGGCAGCAATGGCTCTAAAGCTCAAGGCTACCCTGAATCTCCACACAGTGACCTAGCCCCTGGAATCTCACGGCACCACATGGAAGGACAGGGACCAACCCTTGGGGTCTCAGAGAGGTAGAGCACAGCACACCTCAGGAAAGAAACCTGGAACTTCTGAGGTCTTTAGAGAATAGACCACAACCAACAAACCCACCCTACAAAGAGATGAAGAACCCTTGGCTTTGAGTCAGACATCTCTCCTGAGAAATTACCATAGACTGGCTGTCAAAGTAGATTAGGAAACAAATTTACACGAGCCTGATATTCCAAGAAATCTCTAAATAATAAAAACTTTAGAGGTACAATGAGCTGGAGGAACTCCTAGGCACCTGGTAAACCCAAACATAAATATTTTCTGGAGTAACAAACTTTCATCTTAGGCTTCTTGGCGTACCTAAATCCTACTAAGTATTAACTCATAGTAAGCCCCATAAGAAAATCAGACACCATAGATGATAATAGAACTAACTGATTCAGATGCTGTAAGATTTAATGTATTTCAATAATAGAAGAAAATACGAATACAGAACAAACTTTTTTTTAACATTAGCAAGGATTTACACATAGTAAAGCAGGACAAAGAAGGGAGAAGCAGAAGCAGAAAAAGGACACTCAGGAGGTGGGAACACAGAGGCTCAAAATGGCAGTCCTTGTCCCAGGCATGTTGTACCTTCTGAGCTGAAGGATTCCAGGTGCAACTCTTGGTCACATGGCCAGTCACCTGGTAATGGTTAATTATTTTACCACGCATGCAGACAAAAGGCCCAAGATGGGCCTTACTATTACTCGAAATAGGGTGACATTGGTATAACATTTAAGGAACAGAATACCAGACTATTAAAAGAACATCTAGGAATTGAAAAAAATCATTAAAATTGAAAACTTAATGAATGGCTTAAACAGATAAGGCTGAAGGAAGAATTGTTGATCTGGAAAAGAAAACTGAAGGAATTACACATAGTAAATCATAAGTCAAAAACATAGAAAATGAGAACATGCTAAGTGACCCATGCAGAGAACAAATGAGTTAAGAGAATATGGAGACTGAAGAAGCAATATTCTAAGAGGTAATATAAGCTGGGAATGGTGGTTCATGCCTGTAATCCCAGTCACTGGGGAGGCTGGGCAGGAGGACTGCAACTTCAAGGCCAGCCTGGGCAAAGGTAGTAGCGAGATACTACCTGAAAAACAAAGTAAGAACAAAAAAGGGCTGGGGACACAACTCAAATGGTAGAACACTTGCTTAGCATACACAAGGTCCCAGGTTTGATCCTCCACACCATAAGAAATAAAAGAAAAAAAATCTATTAAACAAATAGTAAAGTAGTCTTTACTGCAAAATAAACAAATCATGCATCTTTACTTAGAGGTGGAAAAAAGAAGAAAAAAACAACAAATTAATGAAAACATCAAAAGCTGGTTTGCTAGAAACATTAAAATTGGTCTTTAACTTTCATGGAAAACATAGCTAACCCATGTTGACTCATGAAGAAATAGAACAATTAGTCACATAGCCACTAAATAAATCAGAACCACAAAATCTTCCCATGGAGTGAAGGTTGACAGATGAGTTTCACCACACATTCAAGTATCAAAGAACTTTTGTTTTTGTTTTGAAACAGGGTCTCACTAGATAGCCCAGACTGGCATTGAACTCATGATTCTCCTGCCTCAGCCTCCCCAGTGTTTGGATTACAGGCATGTACCACCTCATCTAGCTGAAAACGCCAATATTAGACAAAATCTTTCTTCGGTATTGGGGTTTGACCTCAGGATCTTGTGCTTGCTAGACAGGTGGTCTACCACTTAAGTCATGCCCCAGCTCACTGAGATTAAAAAAGGGAATAACTCACAAATCCATTTTGTGAATAACACACAGAAAAAGAAAAATTATCCAATCCCACATTGAATGAACAAAATTTTAATCAGTAAATTAAATGATATATATAAAATGTTAATATATCATCTCTAGAAGAATTTAAAGCTGATTTTATAATACAAAGTCTATTAACATAATTGACATTAAAAGGAAAAACTATGAGAAGTACAGGAAAAATACTTAACAGAATTCAACATGAGGATCAAAGACCTAAATAGAACAACTACAACTGTAAAATCCGTAGAATAGGATACTAATTTTTAAAATGCAATATCCAAAATAATCCATAGAAAAGTTTAATGAGAAATGAGATGAATATTCAAAATACTAATTTTGTTCTTACACACTAAAAGTTAAAAATGTAATTTTAAAAGACATGAATTAAAATGTCAAAGAAAAAAAAGAAGAAATGAATAAATCTCATAGCATGTTCAGGATCTTATCAATACAACTACTACACTTTACTGGAAGACATTTCCAAAGGTAAAACTGTATGGTGATATACCATATTTGTGGATACAAAGCTGTGTTTTTTTTTTAAAGATGTCAATTTGCCTCCAAATTGTAAATTCAAAATAATCCTGACCAAATTCACAGATTGTTTTTGGTGGAAACCGATAATCTAATGAAAAAAGAAAAAAGATATGGAAACAAAGAGCAAAAACAGTCAAGACATTTTTATAGAAAACTGGAACTTGTCATCTCTTATCAAAAGGTATTATAGATCATTATTATAGGACAGTTTATGAGAGCAGTATCTAAGTGGAACAGAACAGAAAGTCCAGACTGACAGAAGAGGCAGTGCAAACTAATGAGAAAAGGATGTACTACTCAATAAAAAGGACTGGAAAAAGTGATTATCCACATGGGTAAAGTATAACTAGAACATAATACGAAAATCTACTCCAGGTAGGTAGAGACATAAACGTGAGAAAGCAAAAGCTTAAGACTTTTAAAAACATGTAGGATAACTTTTGACCTTAGAATAGAGAAGCTTCATATATAAAACAGAAAAACACAAGCCACAAATAAGCAGAAAAATTCAATTATCTTAGCATATTCAGCCAATTAGAACTCAAAAAGATACTCTACCTTATTACTAATCATGGTATGAAGTTAAAACTACAAACTCTACTTTACACGGGCCAGATGGGCAAAAATTACCCGTATTACAATTCCTATGTCAGGAAGATATAGACAGAAAACTTTAGTCACTGTTAAAGAGTATAAATTGGAAAACTGAGCCAAATATTTCAGAAAGCAATCTGCATTATATATAAGAAAGTTGAAGATATACATATCCCATGAATCAAATGCTATTCTTGAGTTTATACACTACAAAAATTCCTACTCATGTACACAAGAAGACACGCACAAGAACCATGTCAGACAAGTGGTGGCACACTTCTGAAATCTCAGCACTCAGGAGGTGGAGGTAAAAGGATTGTGAGTTCAAGGCCAGCCTGGACTATATAGCAATTTCCAGGTCAGCCTAGGAAAAAAAAAAAAGAACAATCTCAGCAGTACCATTTGTTGATCAAAAAGGGACATGGCTCAAATGTTTACTGATGGGAACAAGGACAAACTAAAGTACATTCAAATCTGTGTAGTATATCTTTAAGATGGGTGTCTTTCATGTTAGAAGTAGAAGGAAGCAGAAAAGTATATAACATGAATCATTTATCTGAGTTTAAACAGATACAAAATAAAACAATGCATGCATGGTTTACAGATACACAGGTAGCTCAAACTATAAGAAAAATGGAAAGGGATTCACAGACCCTTTGGCACAGTGGTAATGTTTTATTTTCCTGTAAATAGATAGCACATGGTAACCCACCACACTATTCTTTGTATCTTTGTGGATATATCAAATATTTCACAATACATTTTTAAAAAGAAGGCAAAAGCCTGTTCATAGCTCTTCAGTGGTAATTCACCTTGCCACACAGGTAAAACTATATACTGAGGTGGCCCACAGCAGCACTGCATGCAGGAAAGATTTGATAATCTTAACAGGCATTTGTCAGAAGCTCATGTATTACAAACTCACACATAAACCAAGCAGTGCCAGTACATGGAACAAATCAAAACAAAACCAGTTAGAAAGGAGAGAAGATTAAAGGGTTCAGAGTCCAGTGGACTTGCCTACTCAGAAAAGAAGAACATAAAATTTTAAGGAAATAAAGGGCAGTTCATTTCTTTCTAAAACACCTTACTAACTGCAAATTCTATCAATGCTTCCTTACCCACTGTGGAGTCGTTGTTTACATACTGAGAGAGCAGGTCTTCATCAGCTTGCTCACGCTTCTCATTAGGATCCAAGTGCTTCTTAGAGAAGCTGCCATTCTTTTTTGAAAGTACCATTTTACTTTCAGGTTGATCTGAAACTGGAATTTCTACTGGTTGGTAGTTAGCATGGATATAGGGTTCTTCAGGAAGCATGTAACCTTTACTGAAACACTCCAGCAACCATGTCGCTCCCACTACATGAGGCCTACAAAAGCAGCAGAGTCACAAATGAGACCACCCCCTACTGCAATGTTAACAAGAATCAACACACAGTAGAAACTGCTTTGAATTAAAAACTGATAGAACCTGTGAGCTGATTTATTCCAAAAGTGCTTCAATTCATCATCATAATCTCCCACAATCACATGAGTTACATCTCCATTAAGTTGATTAAAACGAACTCCACCTCCACTGTTGATAAGCCTTCTCAGTTTATCTAGCTTTCTGCCACTAAAGCCACAAAGGTATATCTGCAAAGAGAGATATTTGTTTTAAGGTATTTAAGATGCTTTACTTCTCAATAGAAACAAATTTATTCAAAATAGATGTCTAAATCCACTGTGTAAATTAAGACAACTTGTTTTTATTTTAGGATACCTTATGAAATGAAGCCAAGTGGCTACAGCTCATGCCTCTAATCCTAGCTCCTCAGGAGACAAAGATCACAAGGATCGCAGTTTGAAGACAGTCCTGGGCAAAGTTTGTGAAACCCTATCTCAATACCCAACACACCCAAAAATAACCCAGGGCTGGCGAAGTGGCTCAAGTAGCAGAGTGCCTGCCCAGCAAGTGTGAGGCCCTGAGTTCAAACCCCAGTGCCACTAAAAAAAAAAAAAAGGGAAGTATATCTAAAATGCTGATAATTTTATCATTTCTTTACATTCCCATAGCGTATCATCTAGTAGTACAAGGTTTCAAATATCAGGCCAGAATCCAACATCTTCTAAATACTAACACAAGGTAATTTCCAGTATCAGGTAACTTCTGTGAAGGTATTACTACTTGTAATTTTTAAGGTAACTACAGAAATATATTGTAATTCACTTTGAGTTCAGAAAACCTAAGTTTAAATCTTTGTTTTCCTCTGACATTGATGAAGTACATGATCTGGCAAAGTCCTTTCACTCCTTAAACCAACTCTGTTACCTAGAAGTTAAAGTATCTTTTTCATAGTTCATTAAACAAACAAAAAAAAATAACTTAAGTCAAACAGGTAAGCACAATGTTTTGAAGACAATGTGTATGCAATATTTATTATAATTTATTTTTAACTATCGACATATACAAACACTTTAATCAATATAAAAAACCACTTCCACATCTGTCTTTGAAAAAATTTAAGAATGACAATTCTGTTCCTAATTGCATTTACATACCAAATCATCTTTTTCAAACCCCCCTTTTTTCCCTGCCAGTACTGGGGTATGAGCTCAAAGTCTTGCGCTTGCTAGGCAGATGTGCTACCACTTGTGCCACACTCCAAGCCGAATTCCAAATCATCTCTATTATTAAAATACACTTTAACAAAAATTAGTAATCCTATACCTCCTAGTTAAAAAGAATAATTAAAAGTCATATAACTAATTAGTATAGTCTAGGATAAAGATTACACTTTCTGTTCTACCAACAAGTTGATAACTTTTAGAAGGATTGAAGGGTAACTTGCACCACCACTCCTATTTCAGGCGGTACTGGAGTTTGAACTAAGGGCATTGCACTTGTTATGCAAGAACTCTAGCACTTAAGTCATACCTCCAGCTCTTTTGTTTTTAGGTTTTTGGGTTTTCTTTTTTTTGAGTGGTACTAGGGTTTGAACTCAGGGCCTCATGTTTGCTAGGCAGGTACTCTACCACTAGAGTCACTCCGCCAGGCCTGTTTTATTTGTGTATTAGATATTTTCCAGATAGGGTCTCATGAACTATTTGCCCAGGCTAGCTACGAACCTCGATCTTCCTGATCTCTGCCTCCCAAGTAGCTAGGATTATAGACATAAGCCACTGGTGACCGATTTAGGTTATTTTTCAGATAGGGTCTCTTGTTTTCTGCTCAGGTCCAGGCTTAAGTTGTAATCCTACCTATGCCTTCTATATAGCTGGAATGACAAGCATTTGCCACTGTGCCCAGCTTGTTTGTTAAATGGGGGAAGGCGGTAAAACTAACTTTTTGCCCTTGCTGGCTTTGCATCACAATCCTCCCAATTCTTGCCTCCCAAGTAGCTAGGACTACTGGCATGAGCCACTATGTCTGGCCCCCAATCTCCCCTCCTTCTTTTTTTATTGGCAGTTCTAGAGGTTGATTTAGGCTTCACACTCACTAGGAGACTCTAGAACCATGCCCCCAGCCCATTCAGCTTTTGCTTTAATTACTTTTGAGACAGGGTCTTGCTTTATGCCCAGGCAGGCCTGGACTATGGCAATCCTCCTATTTATGCTTCCCAAATAGTCAAGATTGACAGATGCACACCACCTTTTTATTGGTTGAAATGGGGTCTCAAGAAATTTTTGTCCCAGCTGGCCTGGAATCTCGATTCTTCCAATCTCCACCTCCCAAGTAGCTAGAACTACAGGTGTGAACCACCATGCCCAGCCTCCAATTTCCCTTCTTAACAATAAAATAAGGTTAAATTTTTGTTTTTCTGTGAGAATTAATGGATAACCTAGTCATTCTCTAAACAGAAATATTAAATATCCAGATCTAGGAGATATGAAAAAGTACAATATATGATATTTCCACCTAAGGATCCTATAAAATTGTTCACATATAAATAATTTAAATAATCCAAGAGATACTGAACAAAGCAGTGGCTCTAATGGGTAGGGATGAGCATTTAGTATCTGTGACTCTGAAGAACTTTAATCCTATAAATACTGATCTGAAAATAATATCCATTTTACAGTTATTTGTGGAATTACAGGAACTTATAAATAACATTTCAGAACCTAAGTATCCGCAAAACTCAGCAGATAAAATTATTATAACTAGATGGGTTCAGAGAAGAGTTTAAAAGTAAAATGAACTTTGAAAGTTAACAGATGAAGGTGCATCTCAGCACAGGAACCTCACAGCCAAGGGACAGACATGGTGAGTGAGTCTTAATTTAGTGGAGGGTTTGTGTGGAAGAGAGGGGAGTTCAAAGTCAAGCAAGGAGGTGCTGAGGTTTACTATCCCCTACTGCACTGATTACATGAGAAAGACATACCCGACAACCATCTAGCAAATCTTCAGGCGCTTGAAATGCACTGACATCCAGACTCTCTAGGTTTTCAAGTGCAGACTCCAATCTGCCATTAAGAACTGAACTGCATATTGATTCATTTATGCAACTTCCACTTACGTTAGAAATATGGCTGACATTTGAAAGAGTTTGACCTACAAATGTAAAAATATATATATAAATTCATGAAGATAAAATTGTCTGGTAATATATTTCTGATATATTAATTTTATTATAATCAAAGGGCTATGAACAGGCTGGAATGGCTCAGCAGTAAAGTGCCTGTTTAGCTAGTGTGAAGCCCTGAGCTCGAACCCCAGTATCACCAAAAAAACAAAAAGGGCAGGGGCCATGAACAATTTTCAAAGTTAGATTCTGAGGTTTTCTTCTGAAATCTTGGTGGCAAAATATGAAAAGGGAAAATGAAATTAAGCCTTCCATCTTACTAAAATGGAAATATATTTAATACTTTCTTCAAAGTGGCTTGTTTCCCATAAAAATATGAAATTGCTAGCTTAATATCTAAGTAGTTTACATTAAAAAAAAATGACAGTAACATTTTTGCCAATGTGGCACTTACCTTTCATTTTTAAAGGCTTTAATAATTAGTAATAAAAAAACTTCTTTAAAGCAATATTGTTGCAAGGACAGTCTGAAAGACCCATGAACAAGACTAGATAGCTCAGAGACAGACCTATATATACATGAATCCTAATATACAATAAAAGTGGCACCCAGGAAGGAAAGAACAAGGAAAAAAATATATATATTTGCATGTCAATAGTGTTCAAATAGTAATTCTCTTATTATAAGTCTCCATCCACTAGTGTCTTAATGTCTTCCATCTCCTCCTGCATTACATCAGGGTTATGGGAAAAGGCAACTGTTCACTCTAAAAAGAAACATCAGGACAGGTCTGAACCATTCATACAATTACAAACTTTGGCTCCATTCTGTTATACAATTATATCTAGGGGCATAGCGAAAAAGTAGAAACTCCTTAGTATATCTCAGTGATCCTTGGAATGAGGCAATTTTTCCCCCAGTCCTGGGGATCAAACCCAGGGCCTCCTGCAGGCAAAGCAAGTATTCTACCACAGAGCTACACTCCCAGCCCAACAACTTAATTTTTATATGGAAAAATTATTTACTTTCATCTCAGTAAGACTTACTATCAATTGTGTTGACATGGCCAGTAGGAGTTGAAGTATCAGGCATGGTCTTTGCTTCTAGTCTAGGTTCTGTCTTGTACATAGATTCATCCTGACAAAACCCTTTCTCAATACTGTCAAAAAACCATTGCATGGTCACACAGTGCACATTCCATCTTTTGGCACATTCATATTTCTGTCCTATTGTGTTCATTCAGAAAGACATAAATGCAGAAACAGTCAAATTAGAGGTTATTTTATAATGGGTTATTTTTTTTAAACTGCCTGAAATAAATTAAACATTACCAGTAATCTAGCTGGGTTGGTGGCTCATGCTTATAATTCCAGCTACCCCAGAGGCAGAGATCAGAAGAATCATGACTTGAGAAAAGTCCAGACAAAAAGTTAGTGAGCCCAATTTCAGCAAATAAGCCAGGGATGGTAGTACATACCTATGCAGGAGGCATAAGCAGGAGGATCTTGGTACAGGATGGCTCAGGCAAAAAAAAAAAAAAAAACAAAAAAATGACCCACAAGACTCCAGAAAGAATAACTCAAGCTATAAAGAGTCGGAGAACTGGCTCAAGTGGTACAGCCCCTGCCTAGCAAGCACAAAGCCAAGTTCAAACCCCAGTACCACCAAAACAACAACAAAAAGTTACCAGTAACTACTTTTACTTTTAAGCAGTATGCCACCTAGTGCATTAAAAAAGTAATACTTTAGGTTATTCCTAGTCATATTTTCTGTGTTTATAAATAGACATGTTGTGTGGCGGGCGGGGGGAGGGGATAGTTATTCCTAATACAAACTGCATGGAGAGGCAACTATGGGGTAACTGATAATGAATTTGCTTGCATATGAGATTACAGACGTGCACCACCATGCCCTGCTTACTTAACTTCTTTACACAAGCTTTTTAATCTATAAACTGGGGTAACTCAAAACTATTCTTTCATAAGAATATGTAAGACAACTGCAAAAACTATAAATGTACGCAATATAATAAACACCAATTCTGAATAGACCATTCCAATGTGAGGATTCTACTTAAAGTTGAGGATAGGCACATAAAGTTTGTTAAAAAAGCTTTGATGCAATGTATTCTGAAACAGTATCACAAAACGTGAGGTCAGTATGCAACATGGGTAAGCCACGCTCAGATTCAGAGAAGCAGGGGAACTAGCGCTATTCCTGGTCACCCGGTCCCAATCCCACACCCAAGTTCTGGTTAAGGACGATTACCAATTAACCTCAGCAATTTTTCTCAAATTTTATTTCTGACCTAGGTGGCTAAGTGAAACACAGCACAAATGTACAATGATAATAAAAACGTTAACAAAACTTTTCATATCTATCCGCACATATTTTAGGAGTACTAGTAAAAAATTCTTCAGAACAAAGTTAATAAATCAAAATCAATAGTAACTGTAGTGAATTCTTCTGATTCATGTTTTTATGCTTTTACTTCTTCATGATCTGCAATGTAGATGCTGAAGTTACAAATCCAAGTTCATTCAGTTAAGTTGACTGATTCAATCAATACACTAAAGTCTTAAGTTAGTCATAAGAAAGAAATGTCACTTAGCTTTATGTGTTAGTTTCCTTATTATTTACTCAAGCTTCTTTTATCTTAATCACTTGGTAACTGTGGGGAGTTATTGTTTTTAGTCAAAGATCTAAGTGTAAAGGTCAAATAAAACAACAATGAAAGTTTTTTATATTTACTCAATGACCACATAAATGTACTTTTTCTACTGACTGGGATCCAAACTGTCTTAGCAAGATTTTAGGGGAGAAGAAGAAACAAATTAATAGCATGCCAGTTCTTAAAGATTTTGTAATGTTCATAGCTAGACAAGCTTTGCACTTGTCCATGTGTAACCGTTTTACCTTTTGGTTCTTGCACTATGAGGTGTGTACATTCATTCATTTTCAGCTGTCCCATGTATTGACCTCCATGCTTAACTGTGAGCTGCTGAACTGTCTTCCTGTCTATGCCACACAAGCCAGTCACACAGATTATGCAACCAAGAAAAATAGGACACTTGAAATCTTCCATGTTTACATCAGTGTATCTAGCTATTTTTCTAGAGAAAACAAATGGTAAAAAAAAAATAAGAATGAACTTATTAAATATATTGGATTGTCCTAAAACATTCAGAATTATACTAACCTAGCTCACTACCATGTATCTAAAAAAAGACGTTTCAGCTACAGAGCCTCTCAAAATTGTTGTAAAAGAAAAATACATATTTCATTAACCCTAAACCATTGCTAGTCAAAGTGGTACATTTTCCAAAATTATAAGCCTGAGTATCCAGTTAAAAACTCTTAAGGTTCTTTGGCTGCCTCCTATAAAATGGACATTTTTTTCCTTTTTGATAGTAGTGGGATTTGAACTCAGGGCCTCATACATGCTAGGCAGGTTTTTTACCACTTGAGCCACACTCCAAACCCTAAAATGGACTTTAAATTCTTCCATTATTCTATAAGTAAAAGCAACAAATATTTTGGCAGAATACTAACACAAACACCAGTCTCATTCTGTTGCCACTAGGCAGACGTGTTGATGAAGCCAGTCAGGCTAGGAAAACAGGTGCCAACTTGGAGATATATTGAGGATGTGTTGAACAATGTTCAAAACAAGCCTGGAGAAATGCCAATGTAATTTGTATGGTGATATAATTCTATGGTACCTGTGCTTATGTGGCTGTTAAGTCTAACATCAGGCAAAACTTCAGTGTGCCCTTGGAAACAAGCTCTAAGCCCCACAAGGAAGTGGGTGCGATCCTATTCTCCTCCTACACATAGCCAATCCCTAGCTCAGGCCAGGTACATTTAATCAGGCTCAATCTACACTAATACTGAAGCTGATGGCTTACATATGGTTATATTCCATCTTACCTTTGCCTCCTTTGGGAGAAAATTATGGCTCATTTATTCTCCACCTTAAAATATGGGCACAGTACTGAAGCATAATGCAACGTAAGACCACAGAAGGGTTGGGGGAATGATTCAAGTGGTAGAGCATCTGCATAGCAAGTCAAAGTCCCTGAGTTCAAATCCCAGTACCACCAAAAATAAATAAAAAGACCTGTAGAGCTGCCAGACTGATTTTCTCAATTATTTTAGAAATATTTATATTGATAACAAATTTTATTATTAAAGCATTTATCTTCTAGCTAGTGCTAAGCCTACAGTCCATTCTCGCTGTCAACTTAACTTACACCCTGATAATAAGCACTGATGGATTCTAGCCTTCTATTTTCACTGGAAAGAGTAATGACCCCTTTTTTGTCTCTGAATAACAAATCTAAAAACAATACCATAAAGATTCCTCTAAGAAAACCCAGAGTATGCCAAAATAGTGGAAGCATCTTTTTTTTTTTTCAAATCTAGAAAATACACAAATGTTTGTCTTACTTCTCTTGTGACTTCTCCCAAAGTGTTTTAATCCAAGAAGGAAGCAAAATAGGTTTCTTCAGATTGGCTGCAACTAAATATTTTTTGCTACCAACTTCTCCTGCAATGAGGTGAGTTACTGATATATTAAGGTCTCTGTACACTCGTCCACCCATCATTTGCACATATTTATGGACTTCTTCCTGTAGTCCCGAAAGAAAATATATTAGTACCGAACCACACAGTATCACTTCCACTCTTCTACAATATCCCACAAATATCTTTTGGTGTTGGTAACTTAAATACACAAATGTTTCTTGTTATCATGAAGTTAAATAATTAATGAAATTACTTTCTGGAGCTGAATACAAATCATAAATTTAAAAACTATTTTCCTAAACAGTCACATGCTGCATAAAACAGACAACATATGCAATGGTGTGGTCCCCTGAGATTTTATTGCCTAATGACACTGTAGACATCTTAAATTTGTATAAGTACACTCAATGATGTAGTCCCCTAGCAAACCTATTTCTCAGTAACATTTTTAAGCAACAACTGACTGTAACTGTTCTTTTCAATTCTATGAATCTATTACTATGCTGCCCTTACAATATTTTATGTGCTGCATATGTTGAAAATATAAATTATATCTATATAAATATATAAAAGTACATCTTTATACAGCTGTCTTTTAGAATCCTTTTTTTAAAGATTAGCTATTCAGGAGGGTGAAGCAAGAGGATTGTGAGTTCAAGGCCAGCCTGTCTATATAGCGAGACCCCCGTCTCAAAACCACCAAGGGCTGGGGATGTAGCTCAATGGTAGAGCACTTGCCTAACATGTACAAGGCCCTATGTTCAATCCTCAGTAACACAAAAATTTTTAAAAAAAGATTTTCCATCTATACTAGAAAAATGTGACTCAAAAAAACAAGCTTACTAGTTAGAGCAGAAAAAGTGAGTTTCCTTTTAAATCAAAACAAAAAACTTCGATTAGCCAATTTCTACTAAATGGATTCCTCTATAGTCAATTTACTTTCTTTTGGTAGTGGTGGTACTAGGGTTTGAACTTGGGCCTCATGCTTCCTAGGCAGGCACTCTATTACCTGAGCCATTCCACCAGTTTCAATTTACTTTTTAAAGTCATATGCTATTGGCTGTTGTATATTAAACTTGTTAACTCATGAACACTAAGTCCAAGGTCTTTCAAGTTATCTCCTACACAGTGAAAAATTAAGTATGGAGACAGATACAGAGACAATGATATTCCTCTTAATACTTACCCTCTTTTCTTTATCTAGGCTTGTACAAGATACAGTTACATCAGACATAACCATATTATAAACTGGATGTTCAGCTCTTGGGACACATCGCTGGTGGTGCATACAAAATATGACTACTTGAGGACCAACAATTCTGCAGCCAAGCTACCAAAAAAGAAAAAGTGTTAGTAAAGTATGAAGGAAAAGACCACCAATCTTACAAAATTACATTTGATATTTACCAATTACTCATAGAAGTTAAAGAATACTTACAGAAAATCACCAAATTATTAGAAGGAAAAAATAAAGACCATTCTATTTCTCAGACACACCGAACAATAAATTTACACACACACATAAAAGCAAATTAAATGCAAGCTATCAAAAGAAATAATCTCCAGGATCCCTTCATGCAAAACTCCAATACAAATAATCTTACCCTACAACAACTAGGAAACATCCACACAATACTTTTCAAATGACGCATCCAGCCAATGAAGCAGCTCAAAAGTGTAAGAGCCTACAATGAACCCCTCTAAAAAACCTATTATGTAACAAAAACTGTATTGTCCTAGGTGGTTTACCCATGGGTTTTACTTTGCACTTCAATGTCTTTTTAAGAAGATCCACAAACATCTAAGACATTGTAGTTTAAACTAAAAAACATGACCTTTCGGGGCTGGGGGTGTGGCTCAGTGGAAGAACAAGCATGAGATCTGTGTTTAATCCCCAGCACTGGGGAGAAAAGAAACCCCACTTTTCCATTTTCATTGACACTGAGTTAAGAAAGATGACAATCTTACTCAATACTAGCACACCCAAGGCAGTCTAAAAAGCCTACAGATGTCAAAGTCACCACTACATATCTGCGAAAGGACTATCACTACCTTTCTGATCAGTCATAAGACAATGAGTTTTTGATGCTACTGATCTGACAAGCAATATTTCCAAAAGGAAACTAAGATCCCACAATGCTCTTGGCAAGGTGGGCACAGACCTTCCATAAATTGTACAGGTACTGCATCTACCTACTCTTCTAGGTTTTCTTCTCCTTCAAACAAGAATCACTTCTTTGTAATCTGGATGGAATTACAGTCAGTTTACTTTTATTTCAATGCTTCTCTCTTGTCCAGACACCAAAAAATAATGAGTCAGTAGACTCTAGAATCAATAAAAAGAAATAAGATGTCTCATTGGCATATTAGTAACACCAATCCCCAAAAAACTTCTTTCTAAGTTAAATTTTCAGACCCTATTCAAAGTAGAGGTGGTAAAATCCTATGCGCCACAGAAAAGACAGTAAGCTACCAAGCCCTATATTGAGGTCTTTTCCTAATGTTATTTCTCCCTAAAATATCTTGTAATCTGAATTTAAATACAATAAACTCCATCACTAAAATACTTCATTATCATACTCACTTATAAGTAAAGCTTATCTCCTTAAATATAAAAATTCCATATAATAAAAGCTTATTGTAACAAGATTAGCTTTACGGCTGGATGTGTGGCTCAAGGGCACAGAACCTGCTTTGCAAGCACAAAGCTGTGAGTTCAAATCCCAGTTCCACTTAAAAAAAAAATTAGTCTTTTAAAAAGTATTACTCTGGGGCTGGCAGAATGACGCATGCTTGCCTATCTAGTAAGCATGAGTCCTTGAGTTCAAACCTCCTTGCCATCCAAAAAAAGGTAAAATTATTATTCTGGCCCCCACAACCCAACAGAATTCCAATGAATTCTTAATTTCTCTAATACTTCAGGATCTGTAAAGAATTTATGAAGTGATTGGACTTTGAGCACATGATAAAAGCGAGAGCACACAAGGGAGCGGTGAGGATAGGTAAGACACCTAAAAAGTTAGCTAGCATTTGTTGCCCTTAACGCAGAGAAACTAAAGCAGATACCTTAAAAGCAACTGAGGCCAATATGAAAAGGGGACCAGGAACTAGAGAAAAGGTGAGATCAAAAAGAATTAACCTAGAAGGTAACACACACACACACAGGAAATTAATGTGAGTCAACTCCCTGTATAGCTATCCTTACCTTAACCAGCAAAAACCCTTGTTCCTTCCTATTATTGCTTATACTCTCTCTTCAACAAAATAGAAACAAGGGCAAAATAGTTTCTGCTGGGTATTGAGGGGGTAGGGGGGAGAGGGAGGGGGCAGAGTGGGTGGTAAGGGAGGGGGTGGGGGCAGGGAGGAGAAATGACCCAAGCCTTGTATGCACATATGAATAATAAAATAAATGAAAAAAAAAAGATAAATGAAAAAAAAAAAAGAACTTATGAAGTGAAAAGAAACCAAAAAGCAGACTACCATATGAACTACAAGCTAGCAAACCTTTTTAAGGTGATGGAAGACAGTGCCACTAAAAGGGTCACAGATATAAAGTGATCTGTCATTCTCCTTTATCTTCAATGCCTCTTCTTCTGTAATAATCTGAAGATATTCTTCTGATTGGAATTCTTTTATTGACTGAAAGAAAAAAAATGAAATAACAATGTATCTGAAATTAGTTCCATGTATTTTAGTCCTATCAACTCTTAAAAATTCACCTCAAACCATGTTTTCCATATTGAAAGCAACTCTTATCTTTACCAAGACCACTGCAGAAACCTCTCAAATGGTATTCTCCCTCTCTTGTCCTTATGGAGAATAAACATTCTCTATATAACAGTTAGTAATCATTTTAAAAATACAAGTCAAGTCACGTTACACTCTGCTCAAAACCCTCTATTGGAGCCAGGTGTGGTGGTACACATCTGTAATCCCAGTTACTCAGGAGGCAGTGGCAAGGAAGATCTCAAGCCTGGGCCAAGGTAGCAAGACCCTGTCTCAAACACAAAATATAAAAACAAAAGGGCTAGGAGCATGCCATATGTTGTAGAGCTCTTGCCTACCATGTGCAAGGCCCTGGGTTCAATCCCCTGTACAAAAACCACAAAACAAAAGAAAACAAAAAAAACAAAAAAAAAACCAACAAACTTCAACCCACAATCAGAAAAAAAAAAAAAAGAATAAAATCCATATCTTTCATCAGGGTCTAGACCACACAATCTAACCCTTGTCCCCCACATTTACCTCCTACCTAGCTAACTGTAGCCATTCCTGCTTCTTTGCTAAGCCTAGGATAAGCCAAGCATGAACTTGATGGGGTCCCTCACTTCAGTCAGGTCTGCTTAAATGTCACGTCCTCAGAGATGCCTTTCCTAACCATGGATCCCCCCAACCCCAGTGCTGGGGATCAAAGCCAGGTCCTTACACACATCAGGATAGCACTCTGCCACTGAGCTCCACTCCAGGTGCCTGATCATGCTTTCAAAATTATCCTCCTACCCCCCACCCAGTTATTTTATGAAGAAAAATGACATCGGTAGTTCATAAATACACAAATTCTTGTCACTCTCCTATGAAAATGAACATTTCATGATGATGTGTCGCTTGCCATCATATCCAGGAAGCACCTGGATATTCTTCAGTAAGCACTTAAGAATTTTCTGAACAAATTTTGGAGTCCTGCTAGCTATAGCGATCCTTTTAAATTGGAAAGTCAGATCATGTTGTTCTGATTAAAATCCTCCAGAGGTGCTCCACTTTACTGAGAGAAAAAGCTAATCTTCACAGGGGTTCACAGGTCTTCTATGATGACCTCATTACCCTTACTCTCTGAAGCATTCCTTAATACTCTTCCCCCATTCCTTGTTGACAATATTGTCACACTAACCCGAGACACTACAAGTATTTTCCCAAGCTCTTGGACATGGCTGCTCCCTCTGCCTGAAACCTTCTTCCTCAGATACTTACATAACTCCCTCACATCCCTCAAGCTTACTTACATATCTTCACCATAAAGACTACCCTCATTACAACTAATGTCAAGTTATAGCCTTCCCATTTCTTTCCTTCCCAAGAAACATCCTCTGGAACCCCTTAAAACTGTTTTGCTTTTAAAAAAATCTTCCCCAAGCACTTAGCCCCTATAACACACTACATAATTTTCTCATGTGTTATCTGATTAATATCTTCCTGCTGCTAGAGTGTAAGTTGAGAAGCGAAATCTTTATTTTCTCTGACCAGTGTCCAAGCACTAGAGCAAAGCCTATGAGATGGTGAACACTCACTATACATTTCCTGAATGAATGAACTTTAAGGAAAAATCTGGCATAACTGCTTTAAATGTGCACTGAGGATCCTGTTTAAAATGCAGATTCTAATTGTCACATCAGGGTTGGGGCCCAAGATGTGCATTTCTAACAAACTCCCAGGCCAGATACTGCCACGGACCATGCACACTTGACTTTACTCCACTGCCATTATCTCACACTACACTGCATTATGAAACATAACTGTAACAACCAAAAATGACTGAAGCGTGAGCAGTACAGGACTGACTCAAGTTATTTCAACTACAAAAGAAAACAATTCTCAAGAAATGCAGGCCAGAGCCAGAGATGCTGATGCATGCCTGTAATCTCTGCAATGCCAGCACTCAGAAGGCAGGTATGGAAGGATCCCAGAGCCCAGGCCAGTCCGGGCTAAATAGTGAGTCCTATCTCAAAAACTTTTTTTTAATTTAAAAATATAAAAAAAGAACTGTAGGTCAGCCACATCCAAGTGAAATGTCCTAAAAGATTTCAAGCTCCCTAAAATACATAATGATATACTTACATCAAAACTACATAAAAATGATAAATCTATGTTAATTTAGACTGCAGCAACACTATATGTAAATAAAATGTCTTATTTCTAAGATGTAATGCCCAACAAATAAAAAACAAGAAAATGAATTCACAGCATCAAAGAAGACATGTTCAATTATTCTTACCTCAAGAGCTTTCAAAAAACATTCGGAATTGCCTGAAGACTTTAAAAACTTCACAAAAAACGGATCTTGGTCATTTCTGGACATTTTTGAACTGTCAAAAATAAAGGAATCATGAACAAAAACATTCCTACATTAGGTAGGGAGTTAAATGTTGAACGCACCTATTTTCCTGTGCAGGTAAGAATGTCTAAGGACCCACACTCTGGCCTTGCCCCTGAATTCATCCACGACGTTTGCAAGACACCCTGGCATGCGGACAACGTCAAAGAAAAAGATGACAATGCTAACCCCTGCAAATGCGAGAACGGATTAATGTCCCTGAATCGAACACGGTGAGGGCCCTTGCTATGGGCCCCTCAGCTAAGGGACATTCAATTGCACTTAGCTGAAGGATACACAGAGCGCATCTGCAGCTGCTGGTACCCAGAGCCCGTGAGGTGAGGTCAGCTTATCCCTAAATAAACAGATTTTAGATACAGACATGGCAGTCGGGTGGCAAGGTCGCGCCTCCCGCTCCCCAGATCCCGGGGAAAGGCCTACATCTTGGAACGCCGAAGCCGCGGTCTCTCCGGCGTTAAAGGGCCTACCCGTCGGCCCAAGGGCCGGTTACCACGGCGGGAGCCGAGGGCCACAAAGGCCTCTCAGGAGGTGTTGCGACCCCGAGCAGGCGCGGGGAGGGACCTAGGTGCTCACTCACCTCGATGGAGCCTGGGGGCCTTCGAGCAGCGAGTCGGGGGGCGCGCGGCCCGCAGGACGGCGGCTGGGGTCGGGCGCCAGCCCGGCGCACAGCCTCCGCCCCCGGCGGCGCCCCCAGCCCCAACCAAACGCAGGAAACCCGGAAGTGGCCGAGACTTAGAACCGACTTTCGCGCCAACCGCGCGGACGAGCTCCTTCCGGCGGAAGTGACGTCATCAGAGGCTGCGGCGGGAAGGCGGGATGTCGAAAAGATGGTCGCCAGTCCGTGTACGGAGATGTTCTCCACGGGGCTTTCCTCTTTCTTTCTTTCCTTCCTTTTTTCTCTTCCTCTCTTTCCCTCTCCTTCTTTCTTTTAAGTTTCTCCAGGTTGCTCTCAGGTTTAGGGTTTTGCAGGGCGGGCCTAGGCTCTGTAGGAGCCCACGGTTGACGGGGAGAGGCCACATGTATGGAGTCCTCCATTGGTGGACATACACAACTAAAGCGAGGGGCAGAGAGTAGTTGTAGATAATTTTCCCTCTGGAGTATGCCAGGCAGTGAAGGAGAAACCACATATTATCCTAAACAATTCTAAGAGGCGAATAGTAGTATTTCCACTTTACAGATGTGAAAAGCTGCAGCTAAGAGCAGTTAGGGGCAGAAGTAAGATTGCACCAAGATCTTTCTGACTCCGTGGACCGGGTTGTTTTCTCTCCAACACAGCCAAAAGGTCTGAAGGGAAGAATGAAAGGAACGTGAAGAAAAGCTGAGGCACTTTAAGAAAAGGGAAAAGAGAGACACGTCGAAAAAGAATTTGCGACCTTCACAAGCAGCAGGCCTTTATTAAGGAGAAAAGACCTGAGAGGGGCCCTCAGCTGTTAGAGTAACACTGAGAGGGAGGAGAGCACGTCTTTCTTAGAGGCTGGGGCTTTTTAGCAACCTGGGGCGAGAAAGAGGGAGGTTGGAGGAGGGTGGACGTTAGGTAAGGTGGCTGGGAAGGAGGATGGGGGAGGTATAGGTGGGAGGGAAGGTCGTGGGACTAGGCAGCTTTGCATATTGTTTTTCTTTGGCTCGCTTATTGGAGGTAACCATGTTTGCATTATTTAAGTGTTTCTCTACATTCCAGCAAAGAAAGACACGGGATGGCTTGAGTAACATGCTAATGCAAAGGGATTTTGCTGAGGTCTGCAATGGTCTCTTGTCACAGGTTCTTTCAAGCTACTTTTGCTGAAAAACTCTTAGCTCTGGGTCCATGAGTTAGTTAAAAGCGAGAGAAAACCTCAGCATCTCTGTCTCCATTTTCTATCTGTGTTCCTTGCTCTGAGCTGTTCTCTGCAGCCACCTTGCAAAACTTCAAGGAAAGATTGATCATTAACATCTTTACAACTAGAGCTGAAACTACTCCTGAAGGACAGGCCATTCCCCTAAATGAGGACAATTACAATTATCTATAATGATGAGGATGGAGCAGGAGTGATCACCTCATGGGAATAAGACTGCTCCCTTCAAGTAATGACAGCAGTAAAAACCTCTCCAGAACCCCTCTCAGAACCAGAACTGAGATAATGATCAACCAGGCCACACCATGACTGGGTATATTTAAGCATTCCTTTATCCTCACCCCCAGCTCATGTCCATACTCCAAAAAAGGACTGAAATGCATGCATTGCCTCCTCCTTCAGCATGCCTTGGCCATATTAATTAATCTTTCTCTAGCCTTCACCATCACTTGTCTTTTTATTTGGAATAATAAGGCAAGTGGCTGGCCCTGACATGTGGAACCTCTGGAATTGGACTTATGGCCTAGGCACCACAACCATGCACCTGGACTTGAGAAGAGGTGGAGTGATGGAAAGTGGGAGGGGGTGGGGGAAGGGTATATATTCCACCCTTTGGCTTTTAGCCAGCTGGAATTTAACTAGCAGCAAAGTGAACCTGATCTTTAGAACATACCACCACCAGGGGGCAGAGTCTCCCATCCTTGTCTCTAGATATGCTGATGGAGTCTTGTCTCTGCCCTGAACTATCTAATCCTACAAACTAGAGCAGCGGTCCTCAGGTGTGGCCTCTGGACCAGCAACATCAGTACAGTCTGGGCATTTGTTAGAAATGAAAATCCTTGGGCCTGACTTCAGTCCTACTGAATCAAATATTTTGGGGCATATATATATTCTCTCTCCTCTCTCCTCTCTCCTTTCTCTCCTCTCTCTCCTCTCTCTTCTCTCCCTCCAGTACTGGGGTTTGAACTTAGGCCTCCAGTTTGCTAAGCAAGTGCTTTACAAACAGTCCCTTCCCCCCTTTCCCCCTCCCTGCCATTTTTTGCATCCTAGTTCTTAAAAAACCTTCCAGGTGATTCTGATGCACATTAAAGTTTACTTGAATAGCCATCCTTTGGTGAACATAGTTAGATAGGCTTACAGTCTATGAAGATTTTTATGAAAATGGGGAATGGTTGTGGTATGTCCCAAGGAGCTGCAGTTTAGTGATTAAAACTCTTCTTCACCTTCCAGACATTTAGGGTCCTTTCCCTATTTCTCTGGCACTTCTGTCATGTAGAGACAGACTCTCCAGACCCAGCATGAGGTGAACTAAAGAGAACTTTACCCATCTGTAAAATGAAATAACAGAGGAAATGAATATGACAAAGTAGTTACTTTTTAAAATATGGATGGTGGGATTATGAATATTCCTTGTGATAGAGAGCTTACTATCATGAACAAGGCCCTGGGTTCAATTCCCAGTACCACAAGAAAAAAGGAGAGAAAGAGAGAGAATGAGATGATCTGGTTGAAGAGTTGAAGAGTATGGTCCACTTGCCCAGGCTGAGAAGACATCACCAAATGAGTGAGACAGAGATATAGGAACAGCAATCAGGCCTGAAAATTATGTCTAGCAAAGAACCATGGAGGGCTACTACTGTGGGGGCCCTTACTCGAGGGAATGGCTTCCTGGCAACTTTACATATAGCCATAAAGTCAAAGGCTTGAATTGCAGCTTATCTGAGCTTTGGCAGAACCCCTTGTAGTCATTATGGGAGGCCTCCCTCTTTCAGGAGGCCATCATGAGACAGTTTCTTCTCACCTTCTGGGTTCTGATGAGATATAGGACTTTTCTGCCCTACTCCTGTCAGAATAGAGCTGCAGAATATAAAAGCACCTCGCTGCCATCCAGATTTGGCCTTTCAGCAGTGGGGTCTCCCAAAACTCACCTTGCAGTCATATTTCAGTGTTATACTTTTTGGTATATGGGACAAGGACCCAGGGAGCTGGCACCTATGGCTTATTCTCTTTTTTTGCTATCTATAGAAGTTATAAATGGTCTAAATCTAAAAATGTCTCCTGTTATCTTCACCAGTAGAATCAGTCAGGCCTGGTCCTCGACCTTGTCTTTGTGCATATGAAGTTGACAACCACATGAGACTGGAAACAAAGAGATATGCAGGATACAAACAGTTTGAGATGCTTGCTTTCAAACTTTGAGACAATCCTGAGCTTGCAAAGCAGGAAGTGGGTGAAAAGCTATATATGTCTGAGAAGTACAACTTCTTCAATACACCAAGAAAGGGAAAAGTCTCCCAGAGGGAGGACCTTGGAGGGCAATGAGCAAAAGAGCTCCTTTCAAGAGCAGAGCCTGAATTAATCAGAACCTACAACTAAGAACCTCCCATTGCCTGCCTAAAGTTAATACTGACCTTCCCTGGCTATGGGGCTTCACTCCTTTCCTATTTGATAGGGAGTTATGTATCTGCCCCACTATTGTGAGTTATATGTGTGCTTGGGGGGAGGGGGGAACAGTAACTTGTGTTATTTTGTTTTTGTCTTGTGGTTCTGGGAATGAAACATAGGTCTTCAAGCATACTAGGTAAGCACTCTTATTTCTGAACTACATCCCCAGTCCAGAAACTTGTGTTTTTAGTTTTATGCTACTGATGGATTCTGGTAGAGGCTACCTAGCACTTTTAGGCCAAGCGTCCCACCTTTACCATTTTTAGGCACTTCAGGAAACTTCCACCTGCCAGCATCTATGTTTCTTTGCACAAAGGGACTCTCTGGCAGGCCAGGTGGATAGAACATGTATTACCTATGTGGGAAAAAAACAGTGACTGGCAGGAATGGCAGATTAAATCCTTATTTGCATACCCCTTGAATGGAATATCTACTCTAGCTCCTAGAATTTCCCCTGTGGAATTAGCCCCAGTCTCCATAGTGGTCACTGCCTTATTAATAGATCTTTGGATGCCTTTCTCTCCTTGTCTCACTCCCCATTTTTTTTTAACCTGTGTTTCTTTACTTAGCAAGTAAAACATCAGAAAATCTTGTATAAATGTTTGTTTTCTTGAATGCCCTTTCATGGAGTTATGTAGTTGGTGGGGAAAGGTTGCTCAGCCAGAGATTCTAGTTCCAGAGTCCAAACCCCATGACACCCTGTTCAGATGTAGTTAGAGAAGGTAATTGAAAGGGAAAGAAAGACCCTCCAAGAGAGGACTGCCATTGACCATGGAGAGCAATGAGCATCCTCTTTACATCTGACGGGGGCCATATGATGGTTGAGTTATGGCCAATAGACTATAGGTAGAAATCGTGTTTATAATTTCTAGACCTGGCTCATGAACACTTCTTTTACTACCTTCCTTCCAGATCCTTCCTTATTCTGTCATTTGGATGGCAACACACTTGTTAGTTTTTAAAAAGCCACCTGTTGGCAATGGTAGAGCTTCTCTCAGTCTAGATCACTGGAAGACTGAGTGGAGCTGTGAATGGGTCTCTCAGCCAAGATCTTTTTTTTTTTTCATTTTTCTTTTATTATTCATATGTGCATACAAGGCTTGGTTCATTTCTCCCCCCTGCCCCCACCCCCTCCCTTACCACCCACTCCACCCCCTCCCGCTCCCCCTCCTCAATACCCAGCAGAAACTATTTTGCCCTTATTTCTAATTTTGTTGTAGAGAGAGTATAAGCAATAATAGGAAGGAACAAGGGTTTTTGCTGGTTGAGATAAGGATAGCTATACAGGGCATTGACTCACATTGATTTCCTGTGCGTGGGTGTTACCTTCTAGGTTAATTCTTTTTGATCTAACCTTTTCTCTCAGCCAAGATCTTTGAATGACTGAATGGATTCCACCCCAGGAATCAACACCACTGTTGCTGATACTGAAAATTTGGTTGCCTGGACTTGATGTCAATTTACAAATGACAAGAGCAGTGTT